GACGTGTCTAAAAAGTTCTAGAAAATCACTGACCAACAAAATGTTTTTCTGTCATAATATAATATACTGTATACTATATACATATCGGTTAAAAAAAATATGAACATTTGATTTATAGAGCAGACTGCATTCACATTTATAAGCAATCGGCATTTTAAATCAACTACCTTTTTTTTAAATATTATAATTATGGTTTAAAAGAGCAGGTCAAGCAGTGGTGAATCATAGCTTTTATAGCTGCCCTCTCTAAATACCAAAACATGATCATTTACTTTTTGCTATTCCCCAGATAGACTTTTTCATGTTATATCATTTAGCCTTAGAAAAAAAATACATTAAGTTGTGATGTTATATACTGCTGTTTGATGCAGTATTTGTAATTCTTACTTCTAAATTGTTAAAAGCACTTGGCATGAAATTACAGTCCATTGTTGTGTTTTGTGTAAAATTAATTTTGATCGAAATGAATAAATGTGCATTACCTATTGACTTAAAGAGTTGTATGTCTTTTTAAATTCAATAACAGTCATCCACCTAATAAGCGCACCCAACCTTTTTTTACCTGGGAAAGAAGATGGGAGCGCTTAATGAAAACATGTCAAAAGGCTACTTCACTGCAGACCTGCCAATATATAATCTTCCGTCTTTTCACCAAAGACATTGTACCTTTTAGTGTTTACAAATTACTGTGCTATATATATATATAAGCCAGTGGTCTAACATGCGTTTCTGATTCAACATAAGCTAATTGTCTCTGACAAATTATATGATTTGTCCCTTACACAAAATTAAATGTTTCAAGCCAACTGATGACCAAACACGATCGTTTTCATTGACCGTCACATAATCATCCAATAGATAGATCTGTCTGTTCAAAACATCAGTTCCATTATTAAGTTCAAGAAGTTTTAGTCGTTTCACATTCTTTTTCCTGTTACTAACCTAGCTATTATCATCTAAATCAACTTTAAAACTTTCATCACAGCTTGAGACTGTGCCATTCGCCATTTTTTTCAGTGATTACGTTGACGGTTACGATTGTCTGGGAAAAACTCCCACAACATTGTCATTCTTCACTGAAGCACTATTTGGCAACTAGGAACAAGTCGTGGAGGCCAGTTTGAACACGGTTTGAGCACAAAAGGAATTGATTAAGCATATATACCCTTCATGTTTTCTTAAGTGCAAAGTGCACTTATTAGGTTGAATACGGTATGAAATATCTAGGAGTATATTTTTGGGTTACAGGGTACCCGAAAAAACTGTGTGTACTTTTGGGCATGAAATACTGCACAGAATCATGTAAAGTGCAGTTGTTTCAGTGTTACAGTATAGCCCCAAAAATGATTTCCTTAATTAACTCGCTCACCCCTGAAGACACATTTGAACTCCTCCAATCCAAAGATTGGAACAGTTCATTATGAAATTTCAGGGGTAAATGAGTTAATAGGTACAGCTGTACCATGACAAATTCATACCTCAACAAATACACTAAATATATTGTTTAAAAGTTACCATTTCATATTCATGACAGCATTTTCATTTTCTGAATTTGTAAAAACTTGTGAACAACCTTTTTTTTAAAAGAGTGGAAAATGGTCTAATGATCGATCATAAAATAAGTCTAATAGCGTTAATTATGTAGGTTATACCTATGTTTCTATTAATAACTAGAATTAGAATCCCAAGTACATTATGGTGATAGCAATGAGAATTTAATGATTAATTTTAGTTTCAGTTATATGATGATTTCATAAATTAAACAAATACCTGTACCGTACGTATATATATTTCTGCAGGATGTAATATTTAAAAAGCTGATAGCTTTACATCCCTGTTCCGGTTTTAACAAGGACATTAAGCAACAGTACTGTACACATACATTTATTATTGTATAAAATGCTAAAATTAATGAAGTCAAAGTGAATTACATAAAAAAGTCCATATACACATATATAAATACACAATACAACTGTATGATATAAATATATGTATTATGTAAATCTTGTGTCTATTTTTTAGGGTTTTTTCTGTTATTTTGGAAACCTCCATTTTCTTTAGGCTTGGGAAATATATATCATTATATGGCATATTTAAGTATCTGAAACATTTTTTCTCCTTTTTTAAAAACGAACTGTTGTCTCAAGTCCTTCTTTTACATTAAAACAATACACTGATTTTCAGAGATTTACAGGAAATAAATATATATTAATCTCCCCATCCCCCAATTTTATATCTTCTCATGGATCTGACAAAAACTTTCACTTTACAGCATTAATGGAATGTCATACATAATGCAACCTGAACAAAGACCTACATATATACCTATACTTACCTACATTGGTCTAGATTCAAACAAAGACCTACATATACCTACACTTACCTACATTGGTCTAGATTCAAACAAAGACCTACATATACCTACACTTACCTACATTGGTCTAGATTCAAACAAAGACCTACATATACCTACACTTACCTACATTGGTCTAGATTCAAATGAAGACCTACATATACCTACACTTACCTACATTGGTCTAGATTCAATTCAAACAAAGACCTACCTATACCTACACTTACCTATATTGGTCTAGATTCAAACAGAGACCTATATATACCTACAATTCCCTACATTGGTCTAGATTCAAACAAAGTCCTACATATACCTACACTTATCTACATTGGTCTAGATTCAATTCAAACAAAGACCTACCTATACCTACACTTACCTATATTGGTCTAGATTCAAACAGAGCCCTACATATACCTACACTTAACTACATTGGTCTAGATGCAAACAAGGACCTATATATACCTACACTTCCCTACATGGGTCTAGATTCAAACAAGGACCTATATATACCTACACTTCCCTACATTGGTCTAGATTCAAACAGAGACCTATATATACCTACACTTACCTACATTGGTCTAGATTCAATTCAAACAAAGACCTATATATACCTACACTTCCCTACATTGGTCTAGATTCAAACAAAGACCTACATATACCTACACTTACCTACATTGGTCTAGTTTCAGACCTACATATACCTACACTTATCTACATTGGTCTAGATTCAGACCTACATATACCTACACTTATCTACATTGGTCTAGATGCAAACAAGGACCTATATATACCTACACTTACCTACATTGGTCTAGATTCAAACAAAGCCCTACATATACCTACACTTACCTCTATTGGTCTAGATTCAATTCAAACAAAGACCTATATATACCTTCACTTCCCTACATTGGTCTAGTTTTAGACCTACATATACCTACCCTTACCTACATTGGTCTAGATTCAAACAAAGTCCTACATATACCTACACTTACCTACATTGGTCTAGATTCAAACAAAGTTGAACATTGTTTAGCAATGTTGACAAACCTTATATAAGATACAAATCTTTAAAATTCTTGGCATTCCACCGATTTACACAAGAGAAAGGTGAAAATCTGGCTTTATAGCCAGTGGCCAAACAGTGTCTGGTATGTATATACACTATCCAGATATGGCACTAGGTGGTCAAACTGGACACATGCTTCACTGATTATACTGACCATGGCTTTACCAGCTAAACACTTTAAAACTCATTAAATTCACCTAAATAAATTAAGTGTCAATGTCAGAGGAAGACAAATTAGTCTATTTTAATCCAAGTGTTTCTCCACAATATATATTCTAACATGACTTACATAAAGCTTGACTTTATTTGATAGATCTGCTATCATTATTTTTAATTTAATTTTCATTCATCTTTTCAATGGAATTTATTGGACGGCAAAAAACAAACAATGAAAATATCTTATATTATATATATGTTATTTTATGCTTATCTTTTTACCTATATGCATAACTTTACACATTCAAATTAAGCTTTTAAAACTATTCTGACATGTACAGTTTTAAGTTAAGAATATTTACATTCTATGTGGGCTTTACAAATAATTATAAATTTGAAAAAAAAGGATGTTGACTGAATTAACTCAAACATTAACCCATTCACCCCTAAAGTCACATATGAACCTTACCAAATCAAATACTAGGCAAGTCCAGTTTAGGTATGTAGGGGTGAATGAGTTAAATATGGATCTAGCAATCAGAAACTTGCCCATACCACAGCCACCCATCCACCTGTCTTTTTGACAGGCAGTTTATGAAAGGGACCTATTTTGACAAGACAACTTTCCACTATATAACCTTACTATTGTTTATCAATTTTGAAGGCAGTTTTTTATAATTTGTTATAATATCAATGTTTTGGACAGGGACATTTGAAATCCTGGCTAAAAGCGATTCGGAATGCAGGTTAAAACACTTCAATGGATTATTTTGTTACAAATGTGATGACCTTTCTTCTCTGCACTTATTATTTTAGTCCTTAATTGAAATATATGTGAAAACATTTTTTTTTTATTTAAGTCCATCGTCTATTATGAGACAACCTGGAAACTCAAGACACCTTCAGATCTCTATAGCTGAACACTTCCATGACAATTGCCTAGAGTATTTTTCCCCCTGGAGAATTTGGAATTAAGCTGTATTTTCCCAAAATCAAGAAATATCCCCCCCCCACACATACACACACACACACACACACACTACCTAAAAATACAAATATTATATAAAAAAAAAACCAGAAAAATTTGAGAAAATCACATAGGGTCATGAATACAATTTTTCATTGTGAAGAGATAGGAACTGACAAACCTTCTTCTGGTTGTATTTCCTGTGAAAATATATATTTTTCAATATTGAGAAAATGCCACAATACCCCACCCCACCCCCAAACTGATAAATTAAGGCACATCGCCCCTGTGGAAAGAGATTAAGAAAATAATGAGATAATACAGAAGGACTTGAGCTATATAGTACAAAGTCACTTAGCTCACAAAACCTTGTATCATAAACAATATACAATCTAAAATATTTACATTGAAGAAAATAATGTTCACATAAGGCTGAATGACCTGCATGTGTTACTTACGAGTGTGGTTTCGTCGTTGAGGTGCTTGCCAATGCTGTCTCCATCTTCACTACCCTGAGATGATGTACTGGCACTACCCTGCTGGAGTTCACTTCCATCCGAATTTGGCGAATTTTGAAATGGACGAAGGCGCTCTTTGATATTCTGTAGAGCGATCTGGTGGTAGACGCTCCTTGTGATTTTATTAGGGGCTCCTGTAGGAGTTCCAGAACCACTCTGGTTGATATCCGGCTTTAAAGGTATGTTAGGCGACATTTCCTTACCAGAGTCGTCACTTTTGAAACGATTATGTAAAGTGTCCCTAATTTTGATCAGCATATGCCGACCATCTTGATCGGGGAGGAAGGGTCGGCGCCCAGGAGTTGCCCCGGACCGGCTGACATTGGTACCACCTCCCACGGTATTTTTGTCCCTTTGCATCATAAGAATGGATGCACATGTGTGATAACTTCAATACTCTAGTATTATCCACCTGGTATGGGAAAATACACACACATTTGTCGTAATCCCAATCACAGGAGTAGAAAATCACAATTATTCCTTACATTATTAGGTATCCACAGTGACCATATAATACAATGTAGATCCCAATATTGAGAATCACCACCAATCAATTATTTATTACATGTTTGAATTTATAATAAATCCTTTTGCTGTGATTCAATCAAATTGGATTCAATTTCAAACTGGCGAAAATGTAGTAGGAGTAATTAATCCAAACCGGTCTTCAAAATAATCCGAAACTTTGGTCCTCTCTGGATATTCCTCGATGACCTTGACCGAGTATTCTGTATAGGATACACAAGTAGAAAACGTCAACAAAAGCAGGACATGCACACAAACACACACATATACGATTTTTATTAAATAATATTATTGACTTCCAACGTGTCATATATATTTGACAACTTCCAGAGGTACTAATCTGAGATTTATTTAGACTCCTACTTTTTTCGGACACTGTACGAGACACGGCAACATGTTGCTACCCAAGTTATAATGTATGTGGGCTAACACTTGTTGATAGTCATGCAGTCCCCAACGAGAATACACTAAATTACATAAGTCTTTGTTTATACAATCAATAACAACGTGTACTTGACATAAAGTAAGTATGTATTTACAATCGGTGTGTGTCAGAGCCGCCGCCATGTTGCTTCACTAAGTAAGTTTCGATGTACAGTGGTACGTTATCGAGAGTAGACGACGTCGCGGCAGTGCACCTGGGCCAGCTTCAGACAAAGCTAAGATACTCACAATTTCAATCAACAATATGATGATATAAAATTACATTAAATGTCAAAACTTACCCGAAAATCTGTCTCATTTTGTCCGTAGGACTCCTCTAAATTTGAATACCACGATCGGGGTGCGAATGTTGGAATTTGAGTGAAGGGGAGGGCAAGTCACAAATTGTGACCTAAATGCTATTTGAGTAAAGAAACCATATAAAACCATTCCGTTGTTTTCAATCTCGAATTATGTTTAATTTAAACCAATTAAGAACAATTAATGTGATTCCGTTACGCACAATGTTCAAATTAAACAATGTAGTACGGAGATTGCGGAAAATACCTGCACCCCTACAAATACACAGCATGATAGCATAGTCCTAGATGCCAAGTGCTGTGTATGATTGACATACGCTACGCCCATTTGCTACATTGTTGACATTCCTCAGTGATCACGTGACGTGATAATACAGGCCGTACACTCAATAAAACAAAGGCTATTTATAATATCAGAAAGATCTCGCCAAATGGATCAGTTTGCAGATCAACAAGGCAGTAGCCAAGTAAACATAGAGTTATTTTTTGAACAACTTCGACGAAAGTAGGAAAATAAAGATAAAACGTCAGTGTTTTAGAGCGATGTTATAGACAGAGAACACCTGTATACTGAAATGTGAATCGTAGCTTTAGGTGAAATACTTATCGACGGAATAGCCAGGTATCGGTCTATTTAGATTGCAAGTTTCGCTATCATCACTTACATATACATACGCTGAAAAGTAGGTCAGTAAGTCACAAACACCCCCGGGTATTATATACGGTAGCCGATATGTAAAAAATCTGTTATTATGTAGATTTCGTTTATTATAGGAGAATAAATGCACATATCTGCATAACACGAGTTATTATCATTTGGGACATAAAAATTAGTTTCATATTCTTATATATAAAGACACCAGAATTTGTTCACTCCAGATTTATTGATTTGAGATTTTTAGTTTGTTTAGTCTCCATTGACGGTCACAGGTGATGATGCAGTCGGTCTTCACGAATCAATGACCGTGGAGGAGAGGAGACCGCCATACGAGGGACGGCCTCCGTGACCGCCTGACGCTAATTAGGTACACACGCACCTGTGCGACCACGTGTGCGCGGCGGGGTGGCGAGGTGCTGTCAGGTCACGGCGAAGAACCATACTTTCAATGGTTTGTCCATCAATCACACAGCTGGACACGCCCATTTATGATTACTATGCAATTTTAGAAATCACAGAAAAAATGCAGTGATTATTCGTACGCCTTGCATGAGACAGTTAGCACTTTCAGCTATATAATGGTCAAATCATGACTTAAAAAAAGAAAGAAGGAATGACGAGGGGCAAAAACGTTATACCGGCCTTAAACTATCAGCATAACACTCTCGGGTATGTATAGGGATTTTCAATAACTTTAATTCTTAAATGTCAATAAATTATAAAGATTAAGCCTCTAAGTTTTACTTTTTACACAAACAATTAAACGTTTCGCAACGTTTCAAGACCGACTGGTCCCTTTGTCAAGCTATGACTGAGTGCTATCACATATTTCCCAAACTGATGAATCTTATTGAAGAACAAAACTCCCAGGAACTGTGTCTTTGTTTGTACAGATGGACTAGCCCGGGACCAATGGCGATGTCTTTGTCTGTTCATACGGACTAGCCCGGGACTAGGGACTATGCCTTTATCTGTACAGATGGATTAGCTAGAGACCAGGGACTATGTCTTTGTCTGTACAGAATGACAAGTTCGGGACCAGGAACAATGTCTTTGTCTGTACAGAAAACCAGTCCGGGACCAGAAATTATGTCTTTGTCTGTACAGATAGACTAGCTCGGGACCAGGAACTATGTCTTTGTCTGTACAGATAGACTAGCTTGGGACCTGGAACTATGTCTTTGTCTGTACAGATAGACTAGCTTGGGACCAGGAACTATGTCTTTGTCTGTACAGATAGACTAGCTTGGGACCTGGAACTATGTCTTTGTCAGGAACTATATCTTTGTCTGTACAGGTGGACTAGCTCGGGACCAGTATCTATATCTTTGTCTGTACAGATAGACTAGCCCGGGATCAAGGACTATGTTTTTGTCTGTACAGAATGACAAGTTCGGGACCAGGGACTATGTTTTTGTCTGTACAGATAGACTAGCCCGGGACCCGTAACTATATCTTTGTCTGTACAGATAGACTAGCTTGGGACCTGGAACTATGTCTTTGTCTGAGCAGATCGACTAGTTCGGGACCAGGAACTATGTCTTTGTCTGAGCAGATGGTCTAGATCGGGACCAGGAGCTATGTCTTTCAGTCTGTACAGATGAAATAGCCCGGGACCAGAAACTATTTACATACTGTATTTTCAATAACACTCATTGTGTCATATTAAGACAATAACATAAAAGACCACAGCTTTACTATTGAACGCAATTAATAAACTCACCAAATTTTAATTAAAATCAAGATGTGGGGTACTGTGTTGAAAAGTCAAACGCGTGGAGGGAAATCGGTAACCTCATTCCAAAACATTGAACTTTATGCATTGTAGAGGCTCCTGTTTTGATCGGGACCGGCCGTGGCGTTATCATCTTTGACGAATGTAGTTCTGTATGCCCTATGCTGTTGAATGCCCTATGTTGTTGAATATCTTTGACGAATGTAGTTCTGTATGTCATATGTTGTTGAATATCTTTGACGAATGTAGTTCTGTATGCCCTATGTTGTTGAGTATCTTTGACCAATGTAGTTATGTATGCCCTATGTTGTTGAATGTCTATGTGTTTCTTGAGTTAAACTTGTTATCATTAAAGATACCTGTGTGTATAAAATATCGTTACTATGGTTCGAATTGACTGTTTTATCAAATAACCCTTTTCTGCGCAAGTATATGTCCGTGCTGACCAATGTGCCGGAACTGGACTTGAAACTCGACCGATCATATTGCGAAACGCTGTATGCAGCGCTGGCAGTCTGACAGTTCCGAGACGTCATATTGTTTCCGGCGCTAGATGATAGCAGTATAGCTCGGTCTTAATCAATCACCATCATTTGGAAAATACTTTTTTTTTAAATTCTAATGAAGCAAGCGAAACCTTAACATTGTATTCCACGCGTGATTGATAAGGTTACCAGTGGGACCGCTGAATCGGCTGGAGCCTCACAAATGTCAATGACATTGGAATTCGTTTACAGTGTTGAGTTTACACTTATATTTAATGAGTCCAGCCACGAGTCCCTCATTACAGGCTCCAAGTCAAGTGTCCACATAGTAATCTGTATAATCGCATAATGTTTGGAATCCAAATTAATACAAGTACGGGCATTCCTTTATCAGTAATTGTGTTTCATACTTTAAATGCCTGTAGCTCGCCGTTTGTTATCTTTAGATAGAATCTTTGTATGTCTATTGCGCTGTTCCTTTCCCACTAAAATACTCTTCAGTTCTTTACAAACAAAGGCGGCCAGAGGAAGTCATTGTCCACATACTTACTTGTCCTCCTTAAGAGATTATTCCGGGCCATTGAAACAATCTTGCATGATTAATTATAGTAAAAGTACTTCTGCTGGAGGGGGTTGGTTAGAATTCCGGAAAATCGCGCTTCCGGTTTACTGTTAAAAAGTTACAATCACCCTCTTCATTTTCCCCGCAAATTGTAGCAACATTCGCATTTTTATTAAGCAGATCAAGCACTTCTCTAGCTACGGAATTAAATATCCATTGAAATAATCATGAAAAATGAATATTTTTATGAATAAATCAAACAACAAATCATAGCCATGAAAAACAATTGGACTTACTGTTGTAATGGTTCCGCGTTTTACCCCTTCATGCTGTAAGCGGGAACGTATGTCCATAAATGTTACTAGCTAAATAGGTTCTATATATTAACGTTTACAAGCCAATAAGTCGTGGAAAAGAATTTTTACTAGATGAATCTAGCTATATGGGTCATGTTGATCAAGACCGTTTACTTGATGAATAAATTAGGTTTATCGGCGAACATTTACTGTATAACTAATGGAATGTATTATCCGAATAAGTTATGTTTGTCAATGAACGTATCCTGGATGAACACATGTTATCAAAGGACGTTTACCGGCTGAATTTATTATGTTTTGTCCTCGAATTACAAGATTTTCGAGAACTACTTTAGTCTCATTTAACCTTCAATCAAGTAAGGACACCAAATACTATTCTTTGCAATGTTCATCTCTTGATTACGACAATTATCCCCCATCAACCAAGCTTAATGTCTTTCTTATTAATGTGCGTTGTGTTAGCCTGTTATGCTACGTACCCAGGGTTTACTATCGGAGAGGATACAATGAAGGCGATTGTGGTCGTCATGGTGACGTAATCAGTTTTTACCTTTATCAAAGACCCGTTCGTAGTATGTGGCCTGCATACTTTATTGATTATAAAGGAAGACATCGTGATGGGTGCCACATGTGGTTCCGAAAACGCTTACCCTTATGAAGCACTTGGTTTTGCCTCGTTTTAAATCTTTGCCTGGCACTAAACGCCCGTGTGCTTAAGTCGTGGCGTGGCGTCTATTGCTTTTTCTAAAGATTCAAACAACTTAGAGTAATCCTACCTGAAAATAGGCTTTTTGGAGTAAGGAAAAATTGCATTTGCCCCACCACATTTCAAGGTCAAAGGGTGTAAACATGATGATTTCCAAAAGGGTATTTGGTATTTTGCTTACAGGTAAAGGGCTGCTGAAACTCGACTTTGTTGAAAATAGATGAAAAAATATTTTTTTTAGATGTTATAGACACCAGCATAAGTGGTGTTCATTGCACTGTTGTATATCTAAGTGCAGAATATTACAAATTTTATTTTACAAATATCATCATGCCAGAAACATTTTTGAATGTCAAATTGATGTTGCTGGAAACGATATGGTGTCAGTACGGAATGCCTCCCCCGATAGCGTCCAATTCCCCTCTTTCTCCCCCTGCCAAAGAAGGTTTCGGATGACAACCGTCCATGAGAATGTCCCGACGGATGGATAATCGATCCCAATTTGGCACAATGGTCTTGAGCATGTATATTACATAGTTCGTATTAGACTATTGGAAGAATGTGCCGAGAAGGTACTGGGGCGTGGGGAAAGTGGTGTGGGGAAGATGTTGTGGAGAGAAGTAGTGTGGGAAAGGTATTATGAGGAAAAGTGGTGTGGGAAGGTTGTTTAAGGAAGATTGTGTGGGGAAGGTTATGTGGGGTAGGTGTTGTGGGGAAGGTGGTGTGGGAAGGTGGTGTGGGGTAGGTGGTGTGGGAAGGTGTTGTGGGGAAGGTGGTGTGAGGTAGGTGATGTGGGAAGGTGGTGTGGGGTAGGTGTGTGGGAAGGTGTTGTGGGGAAGGTGGTGTGGGGAAAGTATTGTGGGGAGAAGTGCCGTGAGGAAGGTGTAGTGGCGAAGTAGTTGTGGGGAAGGTATTGTGGGAAATTCATGTGGAGAAGGTGTTGTGAGGAAGGTGGTGTGGGGAAGGTGTTGTGAGGAAGGTCGTGTGGGGAAGGTGGTGTGGGGAAGGTGTTGTGGGAAGGTGTTGTGAGGAAGGTGGTATGGGGAAGGTGTTGTAGGGAAGATGTTGTAGGAAAGGTGTTGTGGGGAAGGTGTTGTAGGGAAGGTGTTGTGAGGAAGATGTTGTTGGGAAGGTGTTGTGGGGAAGGTGTTGTGAGGATGATGTTGTTGGGAAGGTGTTGTGGGGAAGGTGTTGTGGGGAAGGTGTTGTAGGGAAGGTGTTGTAGGTAAGGTGTTGTGAGGAAGATGTTGAGGGGAAGGTGTTGTGGGTAAGGTTGTGTGGGGTATGTGCTTTGTGGGGTATGTGTTGTGGGGAAGGTGGTGTGGGGTAGGTGTGGTGAGAAAGGTTGCTTGGGCAAGGTTGAATGGGGAAGATTGTGTGGGGTATGTGTTGTGGGGAAGGTGTTGTGAGGAAGGTTGTGTGGGGTATGTGTTGTGGGGAAGGTTGTGTGGAGTATGTGTTGTAGGGAAGGTGTTGTAGGGAAGGTTGTATGGAGTATGTGTTGTAGGGAAGGTGTTGTAGCTAAGGCTGTGTGGGGTAGGTTGTTGTGGGGAAGATGTTGTGGGGAAGGTTATGTGAGGTATGTGTTGTGGGGAAGGTGGTGTGGGGTAGGTGTGGTGAGGAAGGTGATGTGGGGAAGGTTGTGTTGGGAAGGTTGTGTGGGGAAGGTTGTGTGGGGAAGGTTTTGTGGGATATGTGTTGTGGGGTATGTGTTGTGGGGTATGTGTTGTGGGGAAGGTTGTGTGGGGTATGTGTTGTGGGGAAGGTTGTGTGGAGTATGTGTTGTAGGGAAAGGTGTTGGGGGAAGGTTGTGTAGGGTATGTGTTGTGTGGGGTATGTGTTGTGGGGAAGGTGTTGTGGGGTATGTGTTGTGTGGGTATGTGTTAAGGGGAAGGTTGTGTGGTGTAGGTGTTGTGGGGAGGGTTGTGTGGGGTATGTATTGTGGGGAAGGTGGTGTGGGAAAGGTTGCTCGGGAAAGGTTGTGTGGGGTATGTGTTGTGGGGAGGGTTGTGTGGGGTATTGTTGTGTGGAAGGTGTTGTGGGGTATGTGTTGTGGGGTATGTGTTGTGGGGAAGGTTGTGTGGGGAAAGTTGCGTGGGGAAGGTTGTGTAGGGAAGGTTGTGTGGGGTATGTATTGTGGGGTATGTGTTGTGGGGAAGGTGTTGTGGGGAAGGTGTTGTAGGGAAGGTTGTGTGGGGAAGGTGTGGAAGGTGTTGTAGGGAAGGTGGGGAAGGTGTTGTGGGGAAGGTGTTGTGGGGAAGGTGGGGAAGGTGTCGTGGGGAAGGTGGGGAAGGTGTTGTGGGGAAGGTGGGGAAGGTGTCGTGGGGAAGGTGGGGAAGGTGTTGTGGGGAAGGTAGGGAAGGTGTTTTGGGGAAGGTGTTCTGGGGAAGGTGGGGAAGGTGTTGTAGGGAAGGTGTTGTGGGGAAGGTGGGGAAGGTGTTGTCGGGAAGGTGGGAAAGGTGTTGTGGGGTAGGTGTTGTGGGGAAGGTGTGGTGGGGAAGGTGGGGAAGGTGTTTTGGGGAAGGTGTTCTGGGGAAGGTGGGGAAGGGGTTGTAGGGAAGGTGTTGTGGGGAAGGTGGGGGGGGAAGGGGGGGAAGGTGTCGTGGGGAAGGTGGGGAAGGTGTTGTGGGGAAGGTAGGGAAGGTGTTTTGGGGAAGGTGTTCTGGGGAAGGTGGGGAAGGTGTTGTAGGGAATGTGTTGTGGGGAAGGTGTTGTGGGGAAGGTGTTGTAGGGAAGGTTGTGTGGGGAAGGTGTGGAAGGTGTTGTAGGGAAGGTGGGGAAGGTGTTATGGGGAAGGTGTTCTGGGGAAGGTGGGGAAGGGGTTGTAGGGAAGGTGTTGTGGGGAAGGTGGGGAAGGTGTTTTGGGGAAGATGTTCTGGGGAAGGTGGGGAAGGTGTTGTAGGGAAGGTGTTGTGGGGAAGGTGTTGTGGGGAAGGTGTTGTAGGGAAGGTTGTGTTGGGAAGGTGTTGTGGGGAAGGTGGGGAAGGTGGGGAAGGGGGGGAAGGTGTTGTGGGGAAGGTGTTGTTGGGAAGGTGTTGTGGGGAAGGAGTTGTGGGGAAGGTGTTGTAGGGAAGGTTGTGTGGGGAAGGTGTGGAAGGTGTTGTAGGGAAGGTGGGGAAGGTGTTATGGGGAAGGTGTTCTGGGGAAGGTGGGGAAGGTGTTGTAGGGAATGTGTTGTGGGGAAGGTGTTGTGGGGAAGGTGTTGTGGGGTAGGGGTTGTGGGGAAGGTGTTGTGGGGAAGGTGTTGTGGGGTAGGTGTTGTGGGGAAGGTGTGGTGGGGAAGGTGGGGAAGGTGTCGTGGGGAAGGTGGGGAAGGGGTTGTGGGGAAGGTGTTGTGGAGAAGGTGTTGTTGGGAAGGTGTTGTGGGGAAGGTGGGGAAGATGGGGAAGGTGTTGTGGGGAAGGTGTTGTTGGGAAGGTGTTGTGGGGAAGGTGGGGAAGGTGGGGAAGGGGGGGAAGGTGTTGTGGGGAAGGTGTTGTGGAGAAGGTGTTGTTGGGAAGGTGTTGTGGGGAAGGTGGGGAAGGTGGGGAAGGGGTTGTGGGGAAGGTGTTGTGGAGAAGGTGTTGTTGGGAAGGTGTTGTGGGGAAGGTGGTGTGGGGAAGGTGTTGTAGGGAAGGTTGTGTGGGGAAGGTGTGGAAGGTGTTGTAGGGAAGGTGGGGAAGGTGTTATGGGGAAGGTGTTCTGGGGAAGGTTGGGCAGGTGTTGTAGGGAAGGTGTTGTGGGGAAGGTGGGGAAGGGGTTGTGGGGAAGGTGTTGTGGAGAAGGTGTTGTTGGGAAGGTGTTGTGGGGAAGGAGTTGTGGGGAAGGTGTTGTAGGGAAGGTTGTGTGGGGAAGGTGTGGAAGGTGTTGTAGGGAAGGTGGGGAAGGTGTTGTGGGGAAGGTGTTGTGGGGAAGGTGTTGTGGGGTAGGTGTTGTGGGGAAGGTGTGGTGGGGAAGGTGGGGAAGGTGTTTTGGGGAAGATGTTCTGGGGAAGGTGGGGAAGGTGTTGTAGGGAATGTGTTGTGGGGAAGGTGTTGTGGGGAAGGTGTTGTAGGGAAGGTTGTGTGGGGAAGATTGTGTGGGGAAGGTTGTGTGGGATAGGTGTTGTGGGGAAGGTTGTGTGGGGAAAGTGGTATGGGGAAGGTTGTGTGGGGAAGGTGGTATTGGGAAGGTTATGTGGGGTATGTGTTGTGGGAAAGGTGGTGTGGGGAACGTTGTGTGGGGAAGGTGGTATGTGGAAGGTGGTGTGGGGAAGGTGTTGTGAGGAAGGTGTTGTGGGGTAGGTGGTGTGTGTAAAGTTGTATGGGGAAGGTTGCGTGGGGAAGGTTTTGTGGGGTAGGTGTTTTGGGGAAGGTTGTGTAGGAAGGTGATGTGGGAAGGTGATATGGGAAGGTGATGTGGAGAAGGTCCCGTCGGGACAGTTGTGTGTGGAAGGTTGTGTGGGGAAAGTGTTGTGGGTAAGGTGTTGTGGGTAAGGTGATGTGGGAAGGTAATGTGGGATGGTGATGCGGGAAGGTCCCGTCGGGACAGTTGTGTATGGAAGGTTGTGTGAGGATAGTGTTGTGGGAAAGGTGGTGTGCGGTAGGTGTTTTGGGGTAGGTTATGTGGGGAAGGTGGTTAGGGAAGATCGTGGGGAACAGATAGAGCTAGGAAGGTACTATGCTGTCGAGAAAGTGATTGCTGAAGGGAAGCTGGTGTAGGGGAGGTGGTAATGTGGTGTCGAGAAGGGGTTAGGTGGTGTCGGGGATGTGGTTATAAGTAGATGTTTCGGGGATGTGGTAAGGTGGTGTCGGAGATGTGGTAAGGTGGTGTCGGGCATGTAGAAACGTGGTGTCGGGGATGTGGTTATACGTGGTGTTTGGAAGGGGTAAGGTGTGTCGGGGATGTGGTAAGGTGCTGTCGGGGATGTAGAAACGTGGTGTCGGGGATGTGGAAACGTGGTGTCGGGGATGTAGAAACGTGGTGTCGGAGATGTGGAAACGTGGTGTCGGGGATGTGGTAAGGTGGTTTTGGGAAGGAGGTAAGGTGTGTCGGGGATGTGGTAAGGTGGTGTCGGGGATGTGGAAGGTGGTGTCGGGGATGTAGAAACGTGGTGTCGGAGATGTGGAAACGTGGTGTCGGGGATGTCGTTATACGTGGGGTCCGGAGTGAGGTAAGGTGTGTCGGGGATGTGGCAGGGTGGTGTCGGGGATGTGATAAGGTGGTGTCGGAAGGGGGGTTAGGTGGTGTCGAGGATGTTGTAAGGTGGCGGGGAAATGGAAAGGTGTTGTCGGGGATGTGGTAAGGTTATGTCGGGAAGGTGGTAGATGGTGTCGGGGATGTGGTAACGTGGTGTCGGGAAGGTGGCAAGGTGGTGCCGGGGATGTGGTAGCGTGGTGTCGAGGATGTGGTAACGTGGTGTCGGGAAGGGGGTTAGGTGGTGCCGGGGATGTGTCAACGTGGTGTCGGGGATGTGGTAACGTGGTGTCGGGGATGTGTCAGCGTGGTGTCGGGGATGTGGTAACGTGGTGTCGGGAAGGTGGCAAGGTGATGCCGGGGATGTGGTAACGTGGTGTCGAGGATGTGGTAACGTGGTGTCAAAGAGGGGGTTCGGTGGTGCCGGGGACGTGGTAACGTGGTGTCGGGAAGGTGGCAAGGTGGTGCCGGGGATGTGGTAGCGTGGTGTCGAGGATGTGGTAACGTGGTGTCGGGAAGGGGGTTAGGTGGTGCCGGGGATGTGTCAACGTGGTGTCGGGGATGTGGTAACGTGGTGTCGGGAAGGTGGTAACGTGGTGTCGGGAAGGTGATAACGTGGTGTCGGGAAGGGGGTAACGTGGTGTCGGGGATGTGGTAACGTAGTGTCGGGAAGGTGGTAACATGGGGTCGGGAAGGGGGTAACGTGGCGTCGGGGATGTGGTAACGTGGTGTCGGGGATGTGGTTATGTGGTGCCGGGGATGTGGTAACGTGGTGTCGGGAAGGTGGTAGCGTCGTGTCGGAGATGTGGTTAGGTGGTGCCGGGGATGTGGTAACGTGGTTTCGGGAAGGTGGTAGCGTCGTGTCGGAGATGTGGTGAGGTGGTGCCGGGGATGTGGTAACGTGGTGTCGGGAAGGTGGTAACGTGGTGTCGGAGATGTGGTAAGGTGGTGCCGGGGATGTGGTAACGTGGTGTCGGGAAGGTGGTAGCGTCGTGTCGAGAATAGTAAGTTGATTTGTACCGTCTAAACATTGATTTTTCAGTTAAAAAACTATGAAGACATATCTGTGTAATTGAATGTGGGCAACCATCTGAATAATTGAATATTGTTCATGACTCGGGGAGATTAAATACCGGAACGTAAAACTTCCAATGAATTAGTGAAGACACTGTATGTATGTGACTGGTGAAGTTCGGGGCCGCTGGAATCCCTGGAATGTCCCAAGACTACTTCCAACTTTGTTTAGATCGGGCATGGAATTTTGAGTGATATTAATCTTTCTTTCTTATCATTCCATCCTTATTGTCCGTAAATAACTATTGTTTCCTAAACGTCCCTGATATATATTCTATTCACGTCCATGTGAAAACGATACTTTCCGCACATTTCACGAAACTGACAACATAATCGTGCGGAATTTACATAGATATTAATCTCCCATATTTACCCCTTAAATATGCAATTTGGAAATCAATTTTCTCAACTTCGTATATCTTTGTTTTAGACAAAGGACTTTTGAAATGACTTGCGTGATTGGCTAAGTAAATGTTAAGTAGATCTAAGGAATGTTAGCTATGTCAGATACCTCCTGGCTACCGGACAGTCGCCACCCTTTCGTGTTGTTTACAGACAAAACGTCGGCCAGCCGATGTAAGCTGACGGATTTCTACAGCAGATGTAATGCCATATTGTCTCTCAAAACACTGCAGAATCTTGCACGTGCATAACATACATACCACGTTTTTGTTGACTGCGGCCAGTACACGACACAAAAAGTGATGGTGGTCGGATAATTATGTCGACGTGACGTCTTGACTTGTGAACATTTTAGTATAAGTTGATACGAGTTCCTTGATAAAACAAAAATACACAAGTTTCTGTCAGTTTATTACGATATATTAATATGGAAATGTTGGGAGGAAAAAACAATTAACGCTGGCCATTCAACCTTCCTTAGTTATTTTCAGTTATTACCTATCCACACACAGTCGTTGGCCGTTTCTTAAATATACCGCGACGTATCAGGTTCTTGTCCCAACTTTAGGAAAATAAATAAGGATCGGTCATTTACGGCACGTGTCCTGCAGGTCATTTACGGCACGTGTCCTGCAGATCATTTCCTACAGGACGTCGGCTATAGAATTTCATCCTGATTTTCAAAACGTTGGCTGCATGGAGTGTGAGCGTGCCATGTGACTGACCAGTACAGTGACCGGTGAAGTACGGACTGGACAAACAGGAAACAATCTCAGACCGGGTACTGGACAGTACGGACAACAGGTGACCACAAACCCTGAGGACACTACCCCGTGTTTGCGTATATCATTGTTCCATTTGAAGCATCCATTTCCGATATATCTTAGTGAGTCAATACAGATCTCAAAATAAAATCTCATGTCTGAAAATAGGTTATTTCACAGGAACTCTAGAATTATCTACAATGTGTCTGTTTGGACCTATCATGGTAAGGGGTGTTATGTGAGGTGTTAGAGGTTTAGATCAACTGAGGGTAAAATAATAATAGAGGGAGTGGAGCCCGCCGTTTCGGAAATTTGACCACACCTAACTTTCTTGCTGCAAAAATCACATATAGAAATGATTGGTATCGTCAAATCCTACAACAGCACCACCAAGGGTGGGCCTCACGTGATAAATCCTATAACAAACGGAACAGCACCACCAAGGGTAGGCCTCACGTGACAAATCCTATAAAAAAGGAACAGCACCGCCAAGGGTAGGCCTCACGTATAACAAACGGAACAGCACCACCAAGGATGGGCCTCACGTACAACAAACGGAACAGCACCGCAAAGGGTAGGCCTCAGATATAACAAACGGAACAGCACCGCCAAGGGTAGGCCTCACGTAGAACAAACGGAACAGCACCACCAAGGTAGGCTTTACGTGACAAATCCTATTACAAACGGAACACCACCAACAAGGGTAGGCCTCACGTATAGCAAACGGAACAGCTGCACAAAGGGTGGGCCTCACGTGACGATTCCTATAACAAACGGAACAGCACCACCAAGTGTAGGCCTCACGAGACAAATCCTTTAACAAACGGAACAGCTCCGCCAAGGGTAGGCCTCACCTATAACAAACGGAACACCACCAACAAGGGTAGGCCTCAAATATAACAAACGGAACAGCACCACCAAGGGTAGGCCTCACGTATTACAAACGGAACAGCACCATCAAGGGTAGGCCTCACGTATAACAAACGGAACAGCACCACCAAGGGTAGGCCTCATGTGACAAATCCTATAACAAACGGAACACCACCAACAAGGGTAGGCCTCACGTATAGCAAACGGAACAGCTGCACCAAGGTTGGGCCTCACGTGACGATTCCTATAACAAACGGAACAGCACCACCAAGTGTGGGCCTGCCGAGACAAATCCTATAACAAACGGAACAGCACCGCCAAGGGTAGGCCTCATGTGACAAATCCTATAACAAACGGAACAGCACCGCCAAGGGTAGGCCTCACGAGACAAATCCTATAACAAACGGAACAGCACCGCCACGGGTAGGCCTCACCTATAACAAACGAAACAGCACCACCAAGGGTAGGACTCACGTGACAAATCCTATAACGAACGGAACAGCACCGCCAAGTGTAGGCCTCACCTATAACAAACGAAACAGCACCACCAATGGTAGGCCTCACGTGACAAATCCTATAACAAACGGAACAGCACCGCCAAGGGTAGGCCTCACCTATAACAAACGGAACAGCATGCACACCACCAAGGGTAGGCCTCACGTGACAAATCCTATAACGAACGGAACAGCACCGCCAAGGGTAGGCCTCACCTATAACAAACGGAACAGCACCACCAAGGGTAGGCCTCACATGACAAATCCTATAACAAACGTGATATCATATACAATCTGATTAAAATACAGCTCCTCTTTACTATCGTACGATAGTAGAGAGGAGCTGTATTTTAATCAGATTGTATTATAGAGTAATTACATGGCTATTTTGGTGGTACAGTTGATAACACACTCGCCATTCACCAAGACGGCCGGAGTCCGAATCCCCGGTCGGACATGGAAAGGTATGGGTTACCTGCCGGATCACGGGGTTTTCTCTGGGTACTCCGGTTTCCTCCTACATGAAGAATCCATTTGCTCTACCATCCGGGCAAACAAGAGTGATTCATTTAAGTTGATAGAACTTGTTTCGCAATTGCTGTAAAATAAATAAAGTTTAAATAATTATTTTTGGTGACGTCACTTATTCCAATAGCTGAATCCACCAATTCAAAAGGTCTAATCAGTGTCATGACCTATTGGTACCAATCCTCCAATCATAACACCTGGATTGGTGATATTGCCTATTCCAATCAGTTTCTACAACGGAAAAACAGTAATTGTGCTTCAGGCGATATATCATAGAGGTTTTTATATAGGACTCTACGTCAAGTCGATTGTTAAAACCGGAAATTTCCCAAATTGGGATTTTAACTTTCCAAATGTTTGTCTGATGGCTATAATTTCAAACCAAAGAGTGTAAGTGTTATCTATAAACAGACATCAACCCGACGAAGCTTCGTAAAACAGAATTTAGAGGATACCGTTATAGTATTCTACTATGTTGTGGCGCTGAAGCTGACGTGTGACGTAGTTACACGTACATGTGGTCACACACATCCAGGACACACGCACATCCTACCACATAGATGAAAACTTTATAGTATCAACGAGCGAATTATTGAATAGGATAGGACGAGTACTCTCCCCTGACATTTTGAGTAGGTTATTTAAGAGAGTAGGATGAGTACCCTCCCCTGACGACGATTAGTCTATAGTGATGGTAATGACTGTTTAATGATGCAAAAGTATACTAGCATTCTTCATAGACTCAGCTAATATAACCTTAAATGCACTTTATATACAGGGGCGAATCCAGATTGATTTGTTTATGAGAAGGTTTCACCATTCCATACAAGCACAGCGGTATAAATATTAGAGATAACAGAGTTAACTCCCTTCCTAAATTTCGATAACTAATTTGTAAAAAATTCTCAGAATTTATCTAGTGCAAGAACTATTGTTTTCGTATAATTCACAAGCATTTGTGTAAAAATATATATCCCCCCAAAGAAAGATTTGACAGTCCCTTTTGATATATATTGAAGTTATATAATAAATTATAAGGTAATACCAACAGTAAAATAGTATAACATGAAGCTACTGATGATAATACGACGTCATTCCACCTGAAAAATGGCACAAACCTCAAGTTTATTGTAACTGATTGGTACTTAGGTCACCTGAGACAAAGTCTCAAGTGACCTATTGAGATCGCCTTTTGTCCGGCGTCGTCCGTCGTGCGTCCGTAAATAATTTACATTTTCGACTTCTTCTCCAAAACCCCTGAACCAATTTCAATGAAATCTTGCAGAAACCTTCCATGGCCAAAGGTCAACAAAAATAGTGGCCGGTTTGTCCCCCAGCCCTCAGGGGCCTGAGGGGCGGGGACAAAAAGGGTCAAATTGACTAAAATCTCAAAAAACTTCTTCTCAAGACCCAGATATGGTCGAATCAATTACTCTTCATAGATGGAAGGGTCTTTAGGTGCTCTACCAAATTGTGAATTTCTTGACCCTGGGGTCTTACGTTTCCCCCTTGGGAGGGGATAAACTTTACTATAGTTTATATAGGGAAATCATATTTTGGACCAAAATTTGTTTAATTTCCATTGGAAGTAATTCAATTTAGGTTAGCATTATCAGTATTGGATAGCAGTTTGATGGTATACACATATCAGCCATGACTGACCCCTCGGGGCTGATGTGAGGGGCCAAAAATGGTTGAATTAACTGAAATTTCAAAAATCTTCTTCTCAAAGACCCAGATATGGTAGAATCAAACACTCTTCATAGATGGAGGGGTCTTCAGGTTTATGACCCTAGGGTCTCACGTTTACCCCCTTGGGAAGGAGGGGGCAAACATTATTATGGTTTATAATAGCAAATGATACTTTGCATATTACATGTTACTAACTTGATTGGAATTATAACCCTGAGTTGACGGTTTGATACTTTGAAATTTTGAGCCAGCCCTTCCCCAAGGTCTATATTTTCTTAAAGATGAATTTCCTTTGGCACATTGACCTATGACCTGCATTGGCTGCTGTAAAAGTCATACACATGACCTACTTACGCAAATGTTAAAGTCACACACATGNTATTGTTTTTTGTCACTTTGAACAATATTTCTGTTCATGTTAAAACCNTACATAGACTGCCGTAAAAGTCACACACGTGACCTACTTAGTCTGCTGTAAAAGTCAGACACATGACCTTCATAGGCTGATGTTAAAGTCACACACATGACCAACATAGACTGCTGTAAAAAGTCAGACACATGACCTAAATAGGCTGCCGTAAAAGTCAGACACATGACCTACATAGGCTGCCGTTAAAGTCACACACGTGACCTACTTAGTCTGCTGTAAGGTCACACATATGACCAACATAGGCTGCCGTTAAAGTCACACACATGACCTACATAGGCTGATGTTAAAGTCACACCCATGACCAACATAGACTGCTGTAAACGTCACACACATGACCTACATAGGCTGATGTTAAAGTCACACCCATGATCAACATAGACTGCTGTAAAAGTCAAACACATGACCTACATAGGCTGCCGTAAAAGTCACACACATGACCTACATAGGCTGATGTTAAAGTCACACACATGACCTACATAGGCTGCCGTAAAAGTCACACACGTGACCTACTTAGTCTGCTGTAAAGTCACACACATGACCTACATAGGCTGATATAAAGGGTACACACATAACCTACATAGGCTGCTGTTAAAGTCACACACATGACCTACATAGGCTGATGTAAGTCACACATATGACTTACACAGGCTGCTATTAAAGTCACACACTTGAGTAAGTCACACATATGACCTACTTAGGCTAATGTAAAGGGCACACATATGACCTAATTAGGCAGATGTTAAAGTCACACACATGACCTAATTAGGCTGATGTAAAAATCATACACATGAACTACATAGGCTGCTGTACAAGTTACACACATGACCTACATAGGCTGCTGTAAGTCACACACATGACCTACTTAGGCTGATGTAAAGGGTACACAGATGACATAATTAGGCAGATGTTAAAGTCACACACATGACCTACATGGGCTGCTGTAAAAGTCACTCACATGACCTACTTAGGCTGATGTAAAGGTATCACAATCACTTATTTTATGTAAAGGTCACACACACATTACATCGTCTGATGCCACACATGTCCTTTTGGTCTGATGTTAAGGTCATCCATGACCTTTATTGATGTAAAGGTCACACACATGACCTAAATTGTCTGATGCCACACATGACCTTTTGGTCTGATGTTAAGGTCATCCGTGCACTTTACTGATTGAAAGGTCACACACACATGACCAACATTGATTGAAAGGTCATACACACATGACCTTCATTGATGTGAAGGATATCCTTACATGACCTACATTCACAAATATAAAGTTAACCCCAACATGACCTTAACTGATAGATGTGACAGTCACACCAACATCTAGTATAGGAAGTGTTAACAGGTGGAATATAATTGTCTGGTTTGGTAATACCAGGTAAGGTCTTTTTAGAGATAGGGTCATTTAAAGACGTGCCATCATGTGTGTAATGCATCGTGTGGTGAAGGTGGTATGTTTGAGTATTTGCCTCCTGTGATATCATGGATCTGATGCCAGTTTAGGAGTGCTATCTCACTAAAATACCATGCAGAAGGAACCCAACACAGTAATCCACCCAGCATTATTACACTGAAAAAAGGTGTCAATGATTACGATAAATATTATATACACTCTTTACAGGTAATCAGTGATAATAATATGATAAAGAGTAATTACAATTGTGTATAATTAACCAACAAAGAAAACAACAAAATCAATAAAATTATTTCATTTTTAATACTTTAGTTTACCTTCTTTTGTTTTTCATACAAAAGTATAGCAGAAAAACAAAGCTCCATTCAAAAAGTATAAGGTGATCAGTTGGACCTGTACAATAGACTATGGGGACAATTGGGGCAACCAGGTACATCAGGGGAGATAACCGGGAATATTAAGGGGAGGTAACTGCATCAAAGCCATCTCAAATCTAATGTACAAACTCATAGCTAACATCAAATATTAAAAAATAAACTTTATCCAACCATAAACAGAGAAATCCACACATTCTTGTGGAAACAGGTGTCATAAGCAGTGTTTATACCTCAGATAGGTATGTACATATTATTTAGTAGATTGACAGTGAAATGAACAAGTGTAAACCTCAGCTAAACATATTAAAAACCAATTGATTTAACCAAAAACCAATTGATTTAACCAAAGTGGTTAAGAGGGGAACAAATTTTGCAAGGAAAAGTGTTACAAAAGTTTGTTTTAAGATATAAAAAAGCAAAGTTCTAATTCTTTAATTAAAAGTAAATCTGAATCGAGGTGTGCTCTTGAAGAGTTCTTAAAGAGATACCCCCACTTCACACAAGGAAATATACATTGGTTAAAAATATATAGATAAGATGGTATTATCAGTAGTACAATGGTTACTGTTTTATTCGTGTATAAAAATCTTTTCTTTTTATGTCAATACAGATGCAACAAAGACGAAATCTCAAGGGAATGCAATAATAAATCCCTTGAAATTAAACCAATTCCATTTCCAGCAATCTAAAAATATGTATCTATTGTTTTGTCTGCACTAGTGAACTCTAAAATTACTTAAATAAATGATTCAAGAATAACATTTCTCAATGTCAAAGAATTATCTATACATGAACCAGTAAAATATCCAGGTAACAGTATCTTAAAAACAAAGATGCATTGGGTTTACAGCAGAAATACAAAACAGCAATTTGCATATTCTTATTCAGCACCGACAGTTTTGTCAATTCCTCATGTTTCTATCTGACATTATCCTTTAAACAGAAAAATCTTTAATGTCAGTTCCTAGTTCTACAAATAAATTTCCCTGCATTAAACAATGTACTCGTCAGAAATGTAACTCTATGCCAGACTTCTTCAAAATGACATTCAAATTTGGAATCCTATATCAAAGACAAAGATAAATCTATCCATGGAAACAAAAAACAAAGTTATATCTGTGATCATTACTTTCAATAAAAGAAAGATGTAGCTCACAAAGACAGGCAAGAAAATCTGCATCAATTTAAGGTTGTATATCACATGTCTTCCCATAGCACTAAAACTTTGTTCTGTTTCAGAAAAGTCTTGATTACAGATTATTTTCCTAAAGACATTTCTAATATTAGAGTCACTTCCCTTCAATAATGGTTTACACTGCAATGCAGTTCAGAGAGCATGCAAAATCAATTTTACATTAGATACTTGTATGTTAAGATAAATGAAACCATGAAATAAGAACACATAAGTAACATATTAAAACGGTTATCAACTTACTTTAAAATCAATGTTTGTTAAAAAACGTCCACATACAAAACCTTTTCTTCTTCTACAACTTAAACCATTAAAATTGCATTATACAGAAAGAAACTAAGGATGTATTGCTTATTTTCACAGCAAAATATTAAATACACTGTAATTCCTTATAAATATTTCAATGGTAAGACTATTTTTATAATTCTCTCATCTGTTAGCAGTTAATAGATTATAAACTCTTGTATTTGGCCTCTGTGAAAACTATTGCATATATGTAATCAAAATACATAAAACATCTCTTGTCAACCTTACAAAAACTACAAATTTCCCTCACATTTACATAGCATTTTCATTCTGTAAAATTGTACATTTCATTTGTGCTACTTTGTCATTATTTTTCTCAGTAAAGTATTCTGGGTGAAATAGGATACGCATACCCACCCCTATTACACCAATCTTCTTAATGAAATCATGCATTATCAACTTATTGAGAATATTTGAGACTTTGACTACCACCACTGGACATTGTGGTACTTATACCTTTCACACCAATGTAACTTTAGTAGACTCTGCCATGCATTGCTTTGGATGATTCCATTATGATCTACAGTGGTGAAAAGTGTATTGTGACTGTAGCTCGTCGGGATGGAGGGCCGTGAAACAAGGCACTAGATGATCACAACAACTTGGGCCATGATAAACACATGGTAAGCATAAAACAATTTTCAATTATCATACCAGGTATTTTTCTCTAGGTATCATTTATGGATAAAAAAGTTCTGTTTGTAACGGTTTGCATATTTCTGCCATTCCCTTCTGTTTCCTCAATTTAGTTTATTAGAATTGTTTAATCTACATTTCATTCTAAATGTCCTTTTGATAATGTAGTCATCTGGTGTCTCAAATACATAATGATGCAAAAATTTGTCTTGAAAATAATTTGAACTTTCCTCAAAATTTTGCATAAATAAAATGAATCAATAGAGATGTGAAACACATATTCCTTATGAAGATTAACCATGAAAATGAGTGAAATGCACCAAACAACGATCATTGTATCATAATATATTAACAATCTGACAAAAATTCCAATTCATAGCTAGTCAATAATGAGAGTCAATATGTACAGGGGAAAATAACTCTTCTAATGGGATCATTACGAACCTCATTCATACAAAGACTGGACAAACATTTCCTGTGACATCATTAACAAAATAACATTTCAATATTAAGATAAACAACTACAACATTGTCAGATGATCTCATTAAATAACATTCCATAACTTGTATTGTATTTTATTTTTTTCCTGACCTTGACCTATAATGTTTCATTTCTCTAAGATGTTGTTGTCTATTTGTTTACATCCTTCTGTGAAAGTGAGAACTTTTTATCTACCGATAGGGAAACATGCAATCTAGAATCACTCAAAAGCAGGGAAAACACAACAACAGATTATTAATAAATGTATATACAACTTTGGAGGTAAAGGTCTGTGTAGTCAGAATCAGATTAAGATGATATGTAGAATATTACACATCAGGTTACAACCTTGTATAGTATAAAGTACGCCAACAGAAAGCCCTCGTGTTATACCAATCATTAACTCAATCACCCCACGTTTTTCATAATGAACTATTCAAACCTTTGAACTGGAAGGGTTCAAATGTGTCTTCAGGGGTGAATAAGTAAATATATAAACCTTCTGAGAAATCAACCTTCAAGAAAAAGAATTAATTCTAGTGGCCAGGGTTTTGGGGTCAATAAGTTCATCAAGTTAAAATACATGTATCTATCAGTTAACAAGTTACAACACATGTAGTGTATTGATCAATGATCAAGTTACAATATAGGTAGTGTATTGATCAATGATCAAGTTACAACACATGTGGTGTATTGATCAATGATCAAGTTACAATACATGTGGTGTATTGATCAATTAACATGTTACAATACATGTGGTGTATTGATCAATGATCAAGTAACAATACATGTAGTGTATTGATCAATTAACAAGTTACAACACATGTAGTGTATTGATCAATGATCAAGTTACAATACATGTAGTGTATTGATCAATGATCAAGTTACAATACATGTGGTGTATTGATCAATGATCAAGTTACAATACATGTGGTGTATTGATCAATGATCAAGTTATAACACATGTAGTGTATTGATCAATGATCAAGTTACAATACATGTAGTGTATTGATCAATGATCAAGTTACAATACATGTAGTGTATTGATCAATTATCAAGTTAAAATGCATGCTATGTATCAATTGGTTATTTAAGTGACAACACAATGTAAAATGCTATTTTTCTCATATAGCTATGAAAAAGCTTTTTTCTAAAATATATAGGCTATATATTTACTGGGTGATCAGGTGGGCGGATTATTCATAAGGCAGTTACAATATTCCTCAGTACACACACAACACCTATATGTATCAAGTTGGGTTGCATTCATCAGTTGTAAGACACAGATCAAAAGGAAAGGTAAAATTTCCATCAGTTATGTTCATTTAAGAATAAACATTTAGAACAGGTTTAGCCAGTAAAAAGTGCATATATATGATATTGGTATAAGCAGTACTTCATCGATATCCTTCATGTCATAGATTTCCTTGAAACAAAAATTACAATTTAAAATAAAAGACACCTTTGGCTTGATCTCCATAATAATCATGATTAATAAAAAACCCCACCTTAAGACAAGCAAATTTAAAATGGATTACATTAGGAATAATACAGGATGATTAAGACAGACATGTAGTGGTAAAATGATGTTATATAACAATGGCAGAGCTGAACAAAACTATGATACTAAAAAAACATTTTTAGTTCATAATGTCGGTTTTTTCAACATTTTAAAATCAGATCATCAAGGTTTTTTCAAAATATTAAGGTTTTTGCATAAAATGTATGTTTCACTATAAAAAATGTCTCACGTCCTCAGTTATCATACCCTGCTACAGTGTAGCCTCATTATTCACCACACCATTGATTAAAACATTCACCACACTGAAAAAAGGAGGAATTAATTCTGTTTTCATGAACTATGACTGAACAATGAATTTCTGACCAGGAGGTTCGTAACAAGTTTTTAGCTATAATACTGTACAATATGAAAGAATTGTGGGTACTATATATAGCATCCATGACTTAACAATGTTCTGTTTACAAACTTTTATCTCAAACAAACTTTCACTGTCTACTGAAACCACTAAATATTATGAATGATATACATGTACATTTAAGTCATGTTAAAAAGTACCAGTGCAGACTAGTGAGGAGACAAAATAACTCTATTTTCTTGTGAGAAATATCAATCACAGGATCTTTACTTTGCTTTTTTTAAGAAATGTAAATGATTTATTAAATACACTAAATAATGTGTATTTTGTGTACGACTTTATTGCCTGTATCAGCACTGGAACACCTATATCAATGTGATTAACAGTATATATACCTGACCACAAACTCACCTTATTATGACAGTATTTAAACACATCAATCCGTTTTTTACAATAAATGCATTATCATTGTGATATTCATTTCATAACATATGCATGTCTACAAAACGATCATTCAATCCAGTGTTAACCCATTTCATGCATAAAACACAACTCCCTTATTATTCACTTTTTTGTATTTAAGTACGGTCAATCAACTATATATGTATCTTATGTTTTTTAATGTATTCCTCTACATATAATAATAGAAATTACTATTTCAATCAATTGAATACAATGAAAAAAGGTATTTGCATTTTCCTATTAAAATTCCATGAGATGGGAAGTTGTGGTCCGGTATACCATACCTTTAATCTACTACACTAGGGGTATGATCCGATACATTATGATAAATCTGAGATCAATAACAGGTGAATATTTCTCACCATTACATAGTCCTCTTTTTAAAGCACCGACATCCAACGTATTTTGTTAAAAATAACATTTTTCTCTCTCATAAACAAATCAAATAACAATAACCCATTGTGACTGCTCAATATGCATAAGTAACCATTATTATTTATGATTTCAAATGATGTATTTATAATTCACGCAATAATTCTCATAATAACAAATAAACTACAATAACATGGGCCTCTGATGCCGTCTATACAATCACTGCTAACAAAAATATATATTTGATTTTATAAAATTGGTGGGAGGTCTATAATTCACCTGAGCCAAGTTGTTCAAAACATCACTCACTCGAAGTAAAAGGTCTCTGGCTATCTTTATGAATAACAGAAATATTGCAGTAAATCTTTCCTCACAACACAAAAAACATGAATTTATAAATTTATAAATACAATATCTAAGTTAACAAAATAAATCGTTATTGCTTAAGGTATCCTTTCAATATAATTAATTTTGTTTCGTAGAAATAAAAATGATATTTTATAGAAATAGGAAAAATAGTTAAGTGAGCAATGTTTTGAACAACCAGGGCCCATATGTTATAAAAAGATGTTGCCTTCTTGCGACATTACACATTACATGTGCGTAATATTATTGCATCACAACATAACTATTGGATCCTCATCAGAGCTATCACCCAATGCAGAAACGTCATCACGGTCAGATATCCTTACGCAGGAACTTCATCACGGTCAGATATCCTTACGCAGGAACTTCATCTTGGTCAGACATCATTACGCAGGAACTTCATTACAGTCAGATATCTTTATGCAGGAACTTCATCACGGTCAGATATCCTTATGTAGGAACTTCCTCATGGGTCAGATATCCTTACGCAGGAACTTCATCACCGTCAGATATCCTTACGCAGGAACTTCCTCATGGGTCAGATATCCATATGCAGAAACTTCATCACCATCAGATATCCTTACACAGGAACTTTATCATGGGTCAGATATCCTTATGCAGGAACTTCATCACGGTCAGACATCTTTACTCAGGAACTTCATCACGGTCAGATATCCTTACGCAGGAACTTCATTACAGTCAGATATCTTTACTCAGGAACTTCATCACGGTCAGATATCCTTATGCAGGAAATTCATCATAGGTCAGATATCTTTACACAGGAACTTCATCATAGGTCAGATATCTTTACACAGGAACTTGATCATTGGTCAGATATCCTTACACAAGAACTTCCATCATGGGTCAGATATCCGTACACAGGAACTTCATCATGGGTCAGATATCCCTAAGCAGGAACTTCCTCACTGATAACATATCCCTACACAAGAACTAGACTTGTGTAACTGTATGTCTATAAAAAACTACTTTGCTTGCAGCTTACATTTTACAACCTTTGATAAAATATTTCTTTATACAACTCCATGTAGCTTTTTGTTCCAGGTGTTTGAAGAGCTCCGACAGTGTCCAGATGTTGGACTTTGGATCAGAGATACAACCCAAATTTCTCTTCCTATTATGTCCCAGAGGGCACAAGGTATGTATGAACACATGTCACTCTTGTGTGACCTTTCACTCACATGTGACCCTTCTTTAAGGACAGATAACTGTGTTTCTCAAAGCTACAGGAAGTAACGAGGAAATAACTCTGAGGCAATGTTTTCCAGATATGTTTCTCAACAGGAAGTCAAGAGGAGACAACTCTGAAGCAGTCATTGCAGACTGTTGCACTTAAATGCTGTAGTTAAAGTGAAATGTTCACTAAGTGTCAGTATCACTTGAGGAGGTCAGTCCTTGACCAGTCTGTATATGTGGTGTTGGGCGCCATGTTCACTAGTCGACACCTCAAACACATAGGCTGTACATAACAGTGTCTCTTGAGTCTCTCTGTTGCTGACCACCTACACAAGAAAAAAATAGCAACATGAACAATCTGTTTATAATTACTCTTTAATGAATTCACTTACTTAATAACATTAAACTATTTGTGTGTGTGTTTTTAGCTGAAACAATCAAATTACAAATGTTATTCAGTAAACTTGTAAACCACTTAATTTCACATGGTGCCATTAGCTGTAAGATTGCTTGTGCATCAATTTAAACCGTGAAAGAAAGTATTCACCACATTATAATCAACTGCACAATTTAGTTACTTGGGTAACTCACCTGTAGAATTGTGAAGTTTTCAAGGACACTGTTCATCATGTATTTTTCAGGTAGGTGTTTAAGTTTGTGGATGAAATTGATCATGTATTCACACATGGGAGATCTGTGGATTCTGTATACAAAACGACCACTCTCAAACCGTGGATATTCCGTCTGAAACACAACACAGGCCGACATAAGTAACTCCCAGTGTCAATGAGAGGAAGCATTGGTAAACCTTTAACACTTATATTTGAGGAAAGCATCTAGTAGCCTCCTGGCTGTATGCAATCCTCGTTAAAGAAATAAAGAATTAAATATACTGATGGAAGGATTATCTGTAGATTATGTACACCATACAAAATACGTAAATATGTCCAATTTGAGCTAGTAAAGAGCCATTCATGTTCAAAGGAGCAATTTTCTTGGAACAAAATAGATGGAAAGGACAATTTCTTGATCTACATTTTATTTAAAACATACTGTAAGCGTTTACACAAGGATGATGTAAAATATCCTAACAAAGATTGGTTCACCTACCTCCACCTTTTCTACGACCTGTTTCCCAAATGAACACACTTTGGTTGAACATGTGATGGTCATATTTTCATTACTCTCATACTGACTCGTAACCCCATAAAACGCTCCAGCCTCATCCTGAACGTTTGTGTTGATGTCGGCCTGAAACACAAAATCATCAAACAGTGAAGACAAGTCCACTAAACCAGGTAGCCAGGTTTTTTCCAGGTCAGCAGGCTGTCAGTCTGGGACCCAACAGTGTTACTAAAACTCAGATCCATTACAAATATATCATTATAACATCTTCTTAAAAGAATAATCTTCAAAAGAAAAGACGCATAAACCTTCCGCTGAAAATTCATCCAGAATTTGATGAGATGGAAAAGATGGAAAATATAGATACTTCTAGTCCTGAAATTGTCAGGATGTTTAAGGCATATAACCAAAACATGCTTGTGAACTCACCCAGAACTTAACGAGGAAGAATGCTGACTGTGGTCCTTTGTCATACAGTTCTTTCAATCCACCTTTTTTCTCCGGAAATTTGTCGTAAATCTGTCGAATGTCAATAGCCTCCAGCATGGGGTCAGAATATGTAGGGTTGGAACCAATGTGGACAAATAGATGTTTATTGTACTGCAAATGAAACAGAGAATTGGTACAGAACTGAACGGAGAATTAGTACAGAAAAAGAAGGTTTTGGTTGCAAAATTAATAAATCCATGTGGTGGTCTTTATGAATAAATAAGTTCCTTAATCACACAACTGTTGCCTACTTTTGCTACAATTCATACCTACACTTGTCATGTGCACTGAAAACCAGTACCTATGTCTTGGAGTCTTATACCATAGACTATGCTAGTTATAAGTACAGCTCTATGGTTGGCATTCAACTATTTGACAATTACAAGAAGTGGGACTCGGACCATCAGAGAAATAGCTAGGCCAGTATCCTGACTACTTTGCCTACACACCCCATTAACACAGATAAAGGTAACACCATAAAATATCATATCAAAATTTTTAATGTAAAATATGGAACCTCTCTATCAATTGGTTTATCAAAATAAATTTCAAGAAAGCAATATCAAGGAACTATGTTAACCAAGTCAAAATGTTTTTTGTATGTTTGAACTTTGTCTTACCGAATCTGGATCTCTCTGCTGTTCCAGGAAAGCGGAGAACTCGACGAGGCGAACCTTAGGCCCAGCTATAGAGCGCCCTTGCCACGCAGGGGCAACCATCTCATTGTTCATGGAGTTTGGTGGCTTGGCATCTATATAGCCTGAGGCACCAAAAGGGGGCTTCACACTGCAATATAGAATGAGGGACAGGTCAAATTTTGAAACCTGTCACTGTATAAACTGTTATTACTACATTTATTACTTCTATATGAGAATCGTATTACACCTGTGACTTTAAAGACTACCAAATATTCTTTTCTCCTCAAATTTGCTTAAATCATTATTTTTTTTTACAAAATTATTATTTTCACCACCATCTTTTTAATATTTCACTTTTATTAATACATAATTTCAATTTGGTTTTCATCTTAAATAATGTCAATGACGATAACTATTTGATGATACAGGAAATGATGGAGTGTTGCTTTAGCAACTATGCTTTAAATACACAACTGACAAATCTATAGTTCGTGCATGAAAATTCAAATTTGAAATGTCACAACATATCTACCAGTTCAGTGATTAGCAGATGAGTTAATTGGAACAGATAGATCTAGTGACCAGTCTTATCAGCATATACAGAAATAAAATGACTTTCTCTAAGGGCTACAATGTATATCTGCCTAATATGTCAGTATAAATGTCCAGCTCGGGAAGGTTCTTCACTACCAAACGTAGGACAGTTTCCACTACTTATGGACCGACCTTGTAACAGATTTTCTTTACTTAAGCAACCTCAAATAATTATCACAAATGGAAATGTGAACTGTATGTACAAACAGACAATAGAAAATAAACAGATACTGGTCCATTTAAAAATACATTTATGAGGTTTGTTACTTTCAACATTGTGAAAAAAACTAGTGCATGATTTGTGCACTGTGCAAGGTATTGTGTCACAAATCAGTAAAGTTGCCTAGTTCTGTTGTCATTAACTCAGTAAAAGTGGATAGCCTTTTTTCCCAAAGGACACAAACCAGTTAAACCGGCTAGTCCTATTCTTCATAAGAGTGTTAACTCTGCGGCCATTCAAAAGAAACTTGATAAATATTGGTGGTGTTAAATCAAGGAACACTTGTTAAACTTAGATCTGGTTAGATAAGGGTGTCTGATGTCATTATACGTACAGTATCATAGTACATATTTAGGAGCAGATGGCCGTCATGTCACTTAGAATAATAACAGGGGAGGTAAGCATGTGTATTTAGTCTAACCGACTGTGCATAAAATACCAACATGTTTCATTAATCATCATGTACTATCTGACCTGGTACTGTAAAAGCCTTGACCATCTGACAATGAATGTATAACAATTAAGGAATATTACTTATCAAAATTTAAGAAACGTGTGATCACACAAAAGAGTGTGGAGATATTTGGCTGTGTATGTCTTGATAATTTTACATTTACAGTGATACAACATACAGATACCGTGAAATGTCACACCATTCTTCTAAATGTGCTATATCTGATAACTACAGACACGTTATGACTGTACCAGTCAAGACTACATGTCACAGTTACACACATGTGACACACCTAGTCACAATGGTGCTACTTACTCAGCTTGGGGTCCCAGAGAATTCTGATGCCAAAACTGAAAAATCAAGGACAGCAACATAATAAAGGAAACTAAAACCTAAAAACTCAAACTCAAAATCACATATAACTGACAATTAATCTCCAAAACCATAATTGTTTAATAAACATGCAATAATATCAGTCTATACTTCAAAACTTGTCATACTGAAATCATCAACCAATCTTTCATCCACAGTTACCTTTTACAGTTATGTTAATCGTAAGAGTCAGAAAAGACATCTGTACTAGGACATTACATCTATCAAACACCAGTAAGTGAACTATATTACAAGTATTTCCAGAAGGACAAAGCTGGGACTGAAGGTGTGCACCTTTATTGTTACATTTCACAGGAATTACTCGGACAGCAAGCAGACTTTCACATTTTTTTTTTTATCTAATGAGGACCTCAGCTGTGCCAGAAATATTTTGGTTGAAACACAGGTATATGACAAGGTGTGAAAATATACTCTGAAATGTTGACAATACGGTCATGCATGATGGAGGAAGGAAAATATGTTTGAACTCAACACATGGATCTTTAATAAAAAACATTGATGCAAAAATAGGATTAATTAATTATTTTTCATGTTACAATTAAGTACATTAATTAAAGTTTGTTATTCACAAAATATCCATATCATAACTTCTACCTAGTTCTGTTCCGTTATAACTTCAGTGAAACTGATAGGAAACGGTTTCCAATGAAAAGTAAAAATTCATCTTGGAAATCCGATATGGAATTTCTGTACTTATTGATGCCTAGTTAGCTCCCTTGGCTGAATGTCAAATCAAAGATAAGTTACAACGAAAATCATTCATGCGTTACCTACCATAAAAATTACAAAATACATAACATTGAAATGATAACATAAAATGTTTTGATACCATAAAGAATGAAATTTAAACCATTAAATAATGAAGTGCTACGCTAGAGCATTGTTACTGCCGAAACACCACCAACAGTAGTCTGACGTACCTTAAGTACACACTCAAGTCAGCAGTGCCTCAACTCTCCAATTTTTCTTTCTCACACTTCTGTACGTTTATAATATGAAAAACGAAACTAGTCCCAAGCTTTACCCAATACATGACAAGTCATTGCCATCTATCAAGAAAAATATACCAAAACAATTTAGTGCCTCAAGCTGACATTACTCTCGACTTACTGAATACTACTTAGATGAAGGTAAATATTCTATCAAAGCTCAAAACAAACTCAAATGAAATTAAACATCTTGTTGAAACCAATTTTTTTTTAGAGAGATGGATAGAATTGACAGATATCATTAACTGTTTTGAGACCAAAATATATTTCAAACTAAATACTAATCATCAGAGCTTGTTATTTTAAAGATTGACAACAACTTGAAGTGCAAGACCTTAGAGCTTTTTCAATTCTAGTTTGGAGGTGGATAATATAAGAAGTTGCAGTCTACCTCCGACATATGAAATAGACCAGGAACCTTATTGAGACTATTTTGAAGGTGGATGAGGCAAGATCCTTGTCAAGTCTACTTTGGAGGAAGATAAAAAAATCATTTATCCATGTTCAGTCTATTCAGAAGTGGATAAAGTTAACGAAGTCTACCTTGGGTGTGATAAGACAAGGAATTTTATTGAGCGTACTCTGGAAGTGGATAAGACAAGGAATTTGATTGAGCATACTCTGGAGGGGGATCAGACAAGGAATTTGATTGAGCATACTCTGGAAGTGGATAAGACAAGGAATTTGATTGAGCATACTCTCGAGGTGGATCAGACAAGGAATTTGATTGAGCATACTCCGGAGGTGGATAAGACAAGGAATTTGATTGAGCATACTCTGGAGGGGGATCAGACAAGGAATTTGATTGAGCATACTCTGGAAGTGGATCAGACAAGGAATTTGATTGAGTGTACTCTGGAGGTGGATAAGATAAGGAATTTGATTGAGCATACTCTGGAGGTGGATAAGATAAGGAATTTGATTGAGCGTACTCTGGAGGTGGATCAGACAAGGAATTTGATTGAGCGTACTCTGAAGGTGGATAAGACAAGGAATTTGATTGAGCATACTCTGGAGGTGGGTCAGACAAGGAATTTGATTGAGCATACTCTGGAAGTGGATCAGACAAGGAATTTGATTGAGTGTACTCTGGAGGTGGATAAGATAAGGAATTTGATTGAGCGTATTCTGGAGGTGGATCAGACAAGGAATTTGATTGAGCGTACTCTGAAGGTGGATAAGACAAGGAATTTGATTGAGCATACTCTGGAGGGGGATGAGACAAGGAATTTGATTGAGCGTACTCTGGAGGAGGATCAGACAAGGAATTTGATTGAGCATACTCTGGAGGTGGATCAGACAAGCAATTTGATTGAGCATACTCTGGAGGTGGATAAGATAAGGAATTTGATTGAGCATACTCTGGAGGTGGATAAGACAAGGAATTTGATTGAGCGTACTCTGGAGGTGGATCAGACAAGGAATTTGATTGAGCACACTCAGGAGGTGGATCAGACAAGGAATTTGATTGAGCATACTCTGGAGGTGGATCAGACAAGGAGTTTTTCCAAGTCTTATTTGAAGGTGGATGACAAGAAACCTTGTCAAGTCTACTTTGAAGAGTGATAAAAAGGAAAAAAGCCATGTATATTCTACTTGGAAATGGAAAAAAATCATTGAGCCTACTCTGGATTTGAAATGACAAGAGCGCACTGAGTCTACTTTGGAGAAAGACAAGACAAGAAGTGAGCAAGTAGTCTTTTCGAGCCAACTTTGAAGGTGGTTAAGGCAAGAAGTCTTGTTGAGTGTACATGAGATATGTTAAAACCAGGAGTCTTGTTGAGTCTCCTATGGATGAGATAAGACAGCCGCCCTGTTGAGTGTACTGAGAGGTAGATAAGACACCTGTTGAGTGCTATGTGGCCAGGATGGAAGGATATGTTACCTGTGGTCCCCCGGGGGAGGGGTAGGATGGCCTGACCCCTCCCATATTTTGGACGATTCCAAGCCCCTGTGCCAAGGCCTTGTTGTGTATAGCACTAGCAGACACTATTTGGGCAGAAGACATGGAGGCCATGCTTTGTAGGGCTTTGTCCTTCGCTGCCTGATCCTGCATAGGAATAGTCTGGTAAACACATTAAAGCAGATTGTTAACCAAGAGGCATATATATATATACACATAAGGGTGAGCATACAGATTATACCAACCTCAGCAACCTCTCCGACAAATATTTCATCATCTATCTTTTCTACAATATAGAAAAGTCCATGCATTGTCTTTTTACATTTTTTTTGTGGCCAGTACTGCGATAAACAGCGAGTATATTTTCTAGTTTTCCTTTTAATTTAACAATATCCAATAAAATTTCCAAAAGTACTTATCACTTTCAGTGTGATTCTTTCTGTCAGTCTATTACAAAATAGGCAATTTCAACAATTCAATAACATTTATTTGTATCTTATTTATTTCTAAAAAGAAGAAGATAATTTCAATGCTGATATCTGAAGGAGAAGTTGGTAGAAGTGCTGGTGTAGTGTACCACACAATATGCTACAAATTATATTACACCTAGGATAAAACATGCTACTATGACTACAGTATATATACAGCCAAGTCAATATACCTCACAATGAACAATATGTGACTGTACATGTGATGTATTCCTAGCTTATAGTATAAAACAAGTAAAACATGGCAAGTATTTGTAAAACTGCTGTCATGCTCAATCTCGGATTCTGTGCTCAAAATCAAAACCTAACTAAAGTGAGAAAATAATTTTTAAAACTTCAAAATATTTCAATTAGTTTTTTTGGTTCTATCACGGACTTAGATAACCTAATCTAATCTAATTCTGTGGTTCTATCTACATGTATGCTTGTAGCTTGAAACCTATTGAACCTTTATGAGTTCAGAGATAGTTGGTTTCAGAACATATCGTCATATACAAAATGTACATGTATTCTAGTAATTACTTATAAAGGAAAACATTGATTTATATTTATAGTGAAATTACAATGTCACATTTCTCAAATCTTAACATATTGCTGTCAATTTGGAATTCCCAAAATAAAATTATTACTTCACCTGTTACAGAATACGATCTTGTATACTGGCACATATAATTCAGAGTAAGTTACATATTCTATTGATACAAGTAATAAAGATATATATGTATAACAGAAAACAAATATATCTTTGTTAATTTAGCCATCGTATATCCACAGATGCATGAGTAGAATCTGCACACAACTTGATGCATGTTAGTACAAATATATGTCTTATGAACTTTTTGCTCTAAAGATTTTAACTTTCCAGAGAGCTGTAAAGCACCTGATGTGTTGAGTTACAAGGGGTATGTATTTTAGTCCCGAGGCACCTGTCACTTGTGGGTCATATGACGCTTTACTTTGACAGGTAACACAGGAAATACAGACGTGCACTGAATATGAACAAGTTGATTACAGGTAGAACAATTAAGACTTTATTCTTGTCATGCTAATACAGGTGATTCAGGCATTGTCATAGTGTTTCTATCAACTGATCTTAACATGGAACATTTATGGGTGTCAAATTTGATATTTTCATTCATTAAGCGAAACAATTTTTACGCATGAATCTCAAATAATTATCAATACACAGTACAGCAGATAGATTACCATGATTCTGAAATTTCTGATGAAAATTGTTTCTGATTAGAAGCATATAATGTAACTAAAGAAATGTGTATCAATAAAATCAACAATACTGACACCTGTCAGGTAAGCTGGTTACCTGTATTATACCAAGATCTATATATATAAACCATACACAACATGCAATTTTGTCACCTCAGTATGGATCATGCTAATAAAAAACATATCATATTTTATAAAACTATATGATTCCTAAACAATGTAAGATTCTAAAACATTGCAGAAAAAGGAAACATACCTAAATAGAATTTGTATTCCTATATATATAGCTATCTAAACAGAACTTGTAAACCTGTCTTAAAAGAATATATAAACCAGTCTTAACATAATTTTTAAATCTGCTAAACAGCATTTGTAAACTTGTCTAAACAGACTATGTAAACCCATCTAAACAGAATTTGTATACCTGTCTAAACAGCATTTTTAAACTTGTCTAAACATACTATGTATACCTGTCTAAACAGAATTTGTAAACCTGTCTAAACATACTATGTATACCTGTCTAAACAGAATTTGTAAACCAGTTTTTAGTACATCTTTCTAGATCCTTTGTATTATATCAGAATATCTGACAAAATATTGGTCACAGGGTTGTTTGGATTAGACAGGTTTCACTAAACAATAGAATTTATCTCAATGAAGATTCCAATTACTTTTAAATGCAGATTCGGTTGTTAATATCATTGTCTTCATGTTAATACCTTCTGTTTAGACCCTTGATGATTAAATAACAAAGGTCAAAAGTATTAGTTATTTAGTAATATATAAAGTAAATATTAGTGTAGTTAGATGAGTTGTCTCCCATCTCCCCCAAAAAAATAAGTCACTTTGATCCGTACATGCGGTACCTTGAGTTGCGCCTGAATCTCTTTGGCTTTTCGGCGGGCTAGCACTTGTATGTGAGATGACACTTGTTTCCTTGTTCTGGTTTTTCCAGTTCTTAGTTTGATATATCTGGCTATTAATTCATTTCGGCCTGTAAAAAAAGCAAAAGTATCATGTATAGCATTGTATCATATTTTCCCCTTTTTTATTTTGTACTTTTAGCATCTGTAATATTCAATAACAAATGCAGATTTCAGCATATGGCATATGGTGCACTAATGTCAATCAGCTGTCAGGTGACTTAATACTATTAAAAGAATTAGATGCACTGTCTCATAAAACTAACTCCCAGGTGATAGTTATTTATTATTTCCTTCAAAATAATAACAATGACTACATAGAGTAAGCAAGGTTAAATAATTTGAAAACAAAAATCGGAAGAAAATGCAGTGAAGATTTTTAACTTTTTCATGACCGTGAGACAATGACTGTCAGTGTTTACCAGGATTATATTTAATGCTCTCATCATAGTGGTAATAATTATACAGGTAGGTGCCTGAATCTCTTTGGATTTTGGCGAGCCAGCACTTGTATATGAGATGGCACTGGATTTCTTGTTCTGGGATCAGGGGAAACTGGTCTTGTTCAAGGGCATAACCAACATACATGTATAACATAAATTCAATATACGTAGGCTAGGTTAAAGAGTATTTCTTAACAAAACTTTCTATCACAAATAATGCTTTCCGGTGGAAAACTTCAGTTACTAGGAATGTTATGTTCATAAAACTGGGCCAGCAGCTAGCCAACACTGAAGCATTCTCTGCCCACATCTCCTCTGCACTTACCCTCAGTACATATGATAGATATTAATGAGGGAGGTACAAATGTACACACAACCCCAACATTTACATTCAACGATCCAAAATTTAAACAGGAGATGATAAAAAATTACATAACTGATATCTATAATGAATTTGGTTATCAATTCAGAGATTCTTTTTGTAAAACCTGGTCCGGTTTGAAGTGAAGCACTGATACAGCCCATCAGTAGCATAGACGATCTAGATCATACATCAACTTGTTGGATGTACAGGTATAATCTCCACCAAAGCCAATTCCAATTATACAACATTCTAGTACAAATGTACATGATGAAGCAAGACAGTTACTCTTATCTCAAAATGCATACATCTTTCTTACATTGAATACATTTCTTTTCTTTCATGTTTTGGATAAAAAAAATGTGTATTTGACTTCATTTTCTTGCGTTATCTTAATGGTAAAACTTGAGTGTCATTGTTATTTTTTGCTCATAGTGTTGACAAAATTGCAATAATTTATGCTCAGGAAAGGTTACCTACAGTAAAACCTTGATATTACACCTTTTTATATATAGTTAAGATCAATAAATATTTTTTCCAGAAAAAAATGACTGCTGCAAATGTTTTGAAGTCAAAATAAATTCCCCAATAATCTTAATTTATAGACTCTAGATTGACACGGTCAAGTATGAAGTATTATCTGTACACGGCTTAAGTGACAGACATGACCAGTCACAGGAAAGATCACCCTAGTCTGGACAGTTATCAACCACGGATGACCAGGGTACACAGGTAATCAATGATTTGGTTTAAAAACAAGAGAAGCCTGGCGAGGTGTTTGGTAACAATACTATGTCTGCATCGATTACAGGTGACACCCTGCCATGCCTGTCCGGGTACACGTACCCTATCTTGTGTCCATAATCCTCCCTATCAGGGATTGCCAGTGGACCTTGATAGTTACCGGAGCGACACATTGGGTCTACAACCATTGACACACCCTATCTGTTTTAAAAACTGTCTATTCTGACAAGTCTTGTCAGCATTGATTGAAATGGTGATATATTATCCAGGTATTTTCACCCAAGAAATCACAGTAAGCAATCTCCTTTGCTGTCTACATTTTTTCTATAAAGCTGTAGTATGATATGTAATGACCACTCTTTAACTTGTCAGCTGTCAAATTAAAGGCAAAGAACTTGTAAAAGTTGACCAAGAAAAAGCTTCAAATGAAATTTAAATGTAATTATCCTGCAAGATTATGCTAAATACATGTTTACATTTGGCTGTGCACAGGAAGTCATGTCAACGACACAACTTTTAACAAAATTTACAGAAGAAAAAGAAAAAAAGATGATTACAACTGTTAGGCCATTACCTCCATCTTTTGGTTTATAGACTGCAGTTTTAAAGTGTATCCCTTTTAAAATTCAGTGTTGACTAAAATGTCACCCTATGATACATAGTGGCCTGGGGTAATTTGTCAGAGGTAACGTGTCTAGGGCCCTGTATGTATACCTTGAGCATACACAACCTATCTCTGTAGGCCGCTCAGCTTAGTCACACAAATGACTCATCCTCTGCATTTGGAACATTTTACACCCCTATACAAATATCCAGTTCAGCCATGTCTTCTTTCTTTGTATTTCATTCAGTTGTAAATTTATTATTCTGCATATATGTATACAAAAAGAAGAACTGTAATTCAAAACAAGTCCCCAAACCATGTTTGGGGGACTTAATTACCAATGTCTTGTACTCGCTGCCCTAATCTAGATTAGATATATATAAAACTACTTCTCTGCTCTTTACCGTATCAAGTTACGCTGACCTTTCACCCTCATTACCTCTAGAAATTGAGAAAAAAAACTTGACTGCTTTTCAGCTAAAGGTAGGAATCGTACTATACATATTTTCAAAGAACCAATCAATTACTCTGTCAATGTCTCTTTTCTCAAAAAATTAAATGTCACTATTTATTAGTTTTGTGGTAAAGTTTACATTTTTCAATGTTCACTACGTGTTCACTTTTAAATAGCAAGGTGTGCCTAAAGTGCCCACGTACCAGGTATTCCTTATTTTCACAGGTTTTTATCTATGAAAGTTAGTGTTTTAGTTAAGTTTTAATATATATATGTATGTAAATACTGTGGTTAAACGTATAGGTAATATAAGATGACAGTGGACAAATGAGTGGGCAGGCTTATATCATGTCTAAAAATAACACATTCAATCAATACGCCTACATATGAAAAACTTGATAAAAGGCATAAGTCCCAATGATATCATTCTTAAGTTTTATTGTAGAACTCTGAACAATGAAAACACAATAGACTATTTACTACTGGGTTTATAAACTTTATATGGCAGAGGTGCAATCTGGTCTGTTCTTTCCATAATACACTTGAATGTCAAGGAAAAAACAGGCTTAAGATTAGGAAAATAACACAATGACCAAACCTGTCTGCCTTTGAGTGGAAAAACCTAGGCCTGTCTGTCTCTTGGGAGCTTATTTTCTCTGAATTGGGGTAAATGCAGATACAGAAAATTCAATATTTTCTATATGTTTCCATTAATATGTGCTTAGCTGACAAAAAGATAAATACACACATGGAGATATCTTCAGGTCTAAGCAAACATATAAGGTATAACACATATGGATATCTTTAGACCTTAGCTACCATAGAGACTCTAAATATTTACAAGTTTCCATCAAAACAGACTTCTAGACTAAAATATGTAGATATCTTCAAATTTCTATCTCAACATACACCTAGAGTCTGTTAAAGATATCATCAGGTTTTCATGCCAGCAGATATCAAGAGTGTAATATATGGATTTCTAGGTTTCAGCAAGTATACACCTTATAATATATTGTGCACATATATCTTGAACTCTCAGCAGACATCCATAATATAATACATAGTACATAGATATCTTCAGATCCAGCAGAGATCTAGAGTAAAATATATTGTACATAGATATCTTCAGATCTCAGTAGAGATCTAGAGTATAATACATTGTACATAGATATCTTCAGATCTCAGCAGACATCCAGAGTATAATACATTTTACATAGATATCTTCAGATCTCAGCAGAGATCTAGAGTATAATTGTACATAGATATCTTCAGATCACAGCAGACATTCAGTGTATGTAATACATAAATATCTTTCAGTCTCCATCCTATTTGAAGCACTAGCATCACTTACACATTATAAATTAAGTGCCAAAACATCATACAACTTACAATTATTCTTATGTGAACTTAAAATCTTAGATTATCCAATAACTAAACATAATTAAATTCATCTGTGATGACCATCACTTTTGAAGGAGTACAGTCTCATCAATAAATTATGCATTTATGCCACACCCGGCAGAAAAACATAAGAACAGATTTACAAGACAAGTCATTTGTATTACCCTATTTGCGGCCCCCAGGTCAAGTTCTTTTCTGTGCTACAGATCAGTGATTCTGTGAGTGCGGTGTGTATTTACTGTAATCCTGATGTGTATGTTTAGCAGGTACATTTACCTTGAACACAGGCTTTGTGAACGTACATGTAGGTAACCTTATTTCAGGTTAAATATATCTCACCTGGCAGATATGTTGTGTACCTGTAGTAGTATATGTGTACCTATACTTCCCCATGCAGAGACTACAATAGTCACAATTTCAAAAATGCCAAACCTTCCCTTCCTTCATGATTATCATTTTTGACATAACTTGAATATTTCAACAGGGTACCCTTGTTTACATTTCATATTACACTGGTATTTGTCTACCGGTAAGAAATATCAATACAAATTATGTAATTTTGACTATTTTACGCACATTATTTTTCAAGTACTGCACACAAACATAGTTTGATGCAGTTTTACAGCTTTAACCTATATTACCACCAAACCAGTTAAATAGTTCTACACTTTAGAAAAAAAATACTACTAGCTTGTACAAACTGGACTTGAAATAATCTACTACGTAGAATGTTTCCTTAATGACAGAACAAAAGGTGCCAAATCCATGATCCCTATATCACATTTCCTTTAAGCATTGGCCTCTGCCATACATATTTTCTCCATGGCCCCTTCTATTCATATTTCATCTATATGATATTGTCAGTAACACAGGAATGCAACATGAATGTACAGATATGACTACTGTTGTGTAATTTATTGATCATGCCAATGCATTTGATATCTAATATATTTGAAGTAAAACTTTTCGATAAAACTTAGTTACTTGCCCGGTAATCAACCTTTCAAATTACTAGTGATATTTTCTTTGATTATGTATGACATAAAATGATGACAGCTTCACCAAGTTTCAATGTTTTGTTTCAGAAGGATATTACGATCAATAATTTACAAGAATCGGTACAAATGTTCGTTATATTCCCAAATGTGTTGTTAAAGTTACCAACTGATTCCTTAACTATATTGACCTATACAGCAATCCTTATTTTTGGTTCAATGCGCAGGCAGGCAGGGAACACAAGGATAATTTCTACCCACAATCTTCACACGGGACAGTGGGACTAATACTTATCATTGTGCCCCTCAAACTCCTTGATCCTTATATAAAGCTACCATGCACCTACCCCTCATTGACCCCTATTCATTTTCTTTTCTCTGAGCTTTAATATGAATTTTGCCCCTATTGATCCTTACCATACATCTTGCCCTCATCTGACAGGATGATTTTTCTTCTGCCACAAGGTGGGTAAATGGCAAGTGCCTCCTGGAAGCTCTGTTCGATGTCTGGTGACCAAACTCCCTCCGCATCATTTGATAGATCATCATTGGTTGGACTATCAGGGTCCTCTTCTGCCTTGGTCATCCCGCTAGCTCCTGCGGACAGGTCATCACTAGACCATGTGGAAGTCATCTGCCTCTAACCTACAATAATTAAAAACCAGGCCTATTAATATCAAATTTTTACTGGTGTCATTATCATTATTTTCAACTGTCAATATCATGTAGAAAAGCACTTTTAATTAAGTAATGCTGATAATGAAATGTTAGGTTATCAGTATATATATTATGAATAATAGCTTATTAAAAATGTATATTATGTAGTTTGAATTGTTCAATTATTCCTATACATCTTTATTGTTACATATTTGCGCCGCTGTCAATACAAATATATAAATGTATCAGTCAGTTTAGGCATCCACAGTTACCTTTTGTATAAGAACCGACTTTATAACAAGTTTTCTACTGTATATATGGCTTTATAACATTGATTTGTAATATTTTCATAAATCATGAAATTCAGAAAAATTGTATGTTTTGTAGATGGACATGCATGCACTTGAATACAAGAGAAAATGATAACATTTGTAGATACAATACATAAAAAGTTCAACATTGTATGAAGCACTGGATCAAGGATTGACTGTACCTTGCCGCTAAAATTTGGGATCCTGACCTAAACTGTTGCTATGGATCCTTGGAATGTCATAATATTATTGTCGTCGTAGAACTATTATGTTGTACTAGCTACGAAATGTTTGTTATTAAAAATTCCCGATTGAATTAAACATTAGTTCCAAGTTTCAACCCTTTCTTTCTAACTGGATTAAGGATCAAGGATCTTGACCTGTTAAAGGGAGATAAACCCCTAAACGGCTGCTAAACTAATTGCTAAAAAAATGTATTATCCATTTTTTGTGTAAACCTCTACATCCTTGGTGCCATCACATCAATTTTGACCTATATGTAAGCTGTGATGATTTAGACAGAAAGCGGACATCAACAGTTCTGTATAAATCAGTTAAATATTGTTCAGCCTGATAATAGCTATGCCAACAAGACAGAGCAACAGTGACATTTCCAGCTGACAGATAATGACCAAAGTGATTGAAAATGTCAGCGACAGTGGGTCTGCCTGTCCATACAGTTACTATATCTAATGTCAGTGCCAGCATCCAATATTGTAATGATGAGGACGTACATGTCATATAACAGATCTTAATTTACAGAAGTATACAAGATGAGTGTTAAAGTCGATTATTTAAGCATGCCTTTGGCAAGATACATACAACCAAAGAGGATTGCTTTAAATTTGTGCTAAATTTCTACAAAGTTATGTCCCTTGGCAAGGAAAATATGTCTGAAGATATCAAACAGATCCAACTTTTATCCATATCAAAATAGTTTGGATCCCCTGAAGCTTGTTGAAAAAGCATTTTTCCTGTATTATGATAATTTATCAAATTTTGGGTTCTTATCAGAAATCTGCTGACATGATATAAAATTAAGTCTACGCTGGTGTTGGGACATTGGTTTATGAAGTTGCTAACAAATGCTCTGCAATAATTTGAGACTGTTGACAGCAATTTATGGCCGGCAATGCAATGGCTTGGCATTTTCTACATTACAACAATGCAAACCAGGATGACAACATCATGATACATCAGACTTCAATACAAATAACTATGAAGAGTAATAATTGTACAGAAAGACTGGCACAACCTTCCAATATATATATAAAAACATGTAGCTCATGATCAAGCACTTTCTGGAATATGCTGTCAATTTTACAAAGTTCACCGACAGCAACAAAACAGTTATACTTGCGGAGCACATTTGAAGGCTTAAAAACTAATTCCTAGTGTAATTTAGAAGTTTTAGATATGAAATGTAATTTGACCAAATACTGAAGAAATTGTGACTTCTTTCGCCTTACTTTAAACTTTTAAATCTACTGCAAAAATGAACACATTGAAACCCTTTCTTGGAATCATTGTATACTTTGTTATGTCCTTAAAAATATACACCAATGAAAATAATAATACATCACAGTTATAGTACCAAGTAAATGTTAAAAGACAAAAGATAATTTAATTATGATTTTCTTGGATAATCAATTGTAACTTATTTTCTTGGAATAAGAATGAATAAAAAATAAGCATGTTTTTAGTAACACTATTGTAGTGGAACACTACACTGTATATTGTCAGATCCCTATTTTCAGGAGCATACATCATACAAAAGTGCACATCGATCATAATATTTGTTAGCATTTAATAATTATAAAACAGTTTAAATGGTAAGCATTCTATTATGTCAGTTTGGGCAAGTACCAGAATTTTTATTTCTCTGATTTATAGTATTAGAAAACTTATGGCATGATTATTCTAAAAAATATATATATATGCTAAATTCCGTCTTAAAGATTAGTTTTAAAATGGATATCCAGACTCAGATTTTTCATTATTTGGGTGACTATCTTGTCATATTTAAACCTCAGACAGACATCCCAGACTATGACATCTGTTGTTATTGCAACCAAGACAGAAGTGAATTATGTAAACAAAGCAGGTAGCGTGTGACAGATACATAAACCATCTTATCTGATGTCACTAACACCGCCTTAAAATATGCCTACGGAAAATAATATATACACCTACATCATTTCAAACCCCCATTTCTACTCAAGCTTTCTCGAAATCGAATTTAAATTTAAAAGTATTTTGGAAGCTTGCTTCAACAAAATACCAGTTCTAGATCCTCCTCGCGGGCCTATAGGATATCCCGTGATATGGGACGAAAATGGCGTGTTACTATCACACCGTTTACCTGGTTCACTCTTTACTCGAAACGTTAGTTATGTCGAATATGTAATCACAAACTTATGTATATCATATCTCATTAAAATGATAAGAAAAACCCAAAGAACGAACATGATTTTGCCTAGTTTTGAAGCCGACCGACTGACCCAAACCGCTCGAGCTGATATCCTCCTGTGCCTGAATGTGGCCATATTCAACAAGCTTACCTCTGTACCGTAGCGCCATGAATAGTTTTTGGGTGCCGAATGTAGGTCACCCTCACCCTCCATAACAATTCTATCATGTTGAAACAACAATTCCCTGGACATGCTGTACTGTCACAGTTGACAATATGCACGATTCTCAAATGATTCTCCAATCACCTGGCAAACTTTGCATTGGCCGGAAGTTGTTCCTAAAACTATGACAAATATTCGAGGGATTCAAAACCCGTACCGACATTTTAGCCATGCCGTACGAATACCGGCCATACTTGACAGAATTTCGCCAAATCACTGGCAAATCACACAATTACTTACCTGTTTATAACTTATCCAGACTTTCAATATACTTTTTAAGTTAAAATTCAAAATTTAAACTCAAAAAGGACACACTCCGTGGTATGCGTGGAATGGCACAAAGAATCTAGACAACGTAGGTGACAGCTGCGCATATACTTCGCGCAGGGGTGGACCTAGGCATCAATCAGGAGAAATATATGCACAGGTTTCTTTGTTTTAACATTATATATATACAAAGTGATAAAAAGTGTCAATGTAAGATAATGTATATGAAAAATTAATACATATTTGATGTTCGTTCTATATATTTCTGTTTGTTACCTCAACAAGTGAAAACATATTAGAAAATTGCGACACACATATGTTAAATTCTCCCAACACACAAGGTGATTTTTCCCCCCTGGACACTTGTGGCATGTGTTTTCATTTTACGCGGTTTGTTGTGTTCTGAGCTAGTAAGGTATGACTCATACCGGCGGGCGCTACAAGTTGCAAAACTGCACTGCAGTCCAGATAATTTTACTCACCTTTAAACGTTTAAACGTGTGTTAGTCGCACATGCGCTTTCATACAGACACATGATATTCACCGAAAAAGTTTAATTGGACATAGCAGGTGCCCGTTATGGACATATATATATATATATCACGCTGTAGCGCGCTCTTTCTATGCTTATGATTTAGGATTACCGTATAATAAATTAACATAAATGTACGGATTTGAACTAAATAACATAATGAATATTAATAAGATGTGAGGTATTATTTTCATAAATGATTTTTTTTTACAGACTTTCATCCGTGTCCTCAATTAAATCTACAGCACGCTATACTAGTCTCCGAAATTCTGAAAAGGGTTGTCGAAAATTTGGAGGCCATGGAACACAATTGGCACCTGTGTCATAAACTTTCTTTGGTGTCTATTCAGCATCAATCAAATCTGTAAATTTAAACTCCGCTACCGATAGATTTGTATTGGTACATAAGTAATTTCATAGCACTTTGAGTCATCGTCTATCAACATTCTATCATACAGTACTAATTAGTAAGTCTATGTCAAGTTATAAACACTTCTTTTCGAAAAGTATCAATGATGTAAAGTAACGCATAGTGTATAATAATGTATATCATACAAAAATATGGTTTAAAAAATATATGGCGTAAAAAAGGTATAAAATGAATAACTACATATGTATTCTTTAAATTAAAATATTTTAGTGGATATCATATAAATTTCACACGTGTTTTGTGACCACAAGTTTGGTAAAAAAAAAATCCGAAAATGACCCCAATCAATATAAATGTTTGATCCCACAGGACCATACACATACAAGTGCATGCTTGTGTGACATCCTAAATACAAGCACGTGCCCGTTTGACGACATTAATACAGGTATAATTGTCTGTTTAGTTCAAATCAATTGTATTGCAAACAAAAGACCAATGGATGTGACAAAAGTTAATACTGACGTCCTTTACATAACAAATAAATATACACAAAACTAGTGTGTCGCGCAATAGCGAAAATAGTTCATTTTAAAGTTAAAGATGAGGTAACAGCAAAAGAGGTAAGAAAGGAATTAGGGACACCAGCGTATAATTTGTTGAATTAGTTATCGGAGGGTTTACTTGAGGTCGCGTCTGTGATTTTCCTAAGCGTGTGTGACGACAAAAATAACAGTTATGCAAACGTTTTTATTCTGAGTCCAGTTTTATTTTAGATCTGAAATGAGGATGTTTTGTTGCAACTACTTTGTCTTTTGATGAATATTTTTTCCATGAGTGATTTATTGAAACAAATTGAAGAAAGTATATTAGTTTTTTTATCCATTACAGTCAAGGTTCCAACAAGCCTTATAATGCAATAAACGGTAAGTATTGCTGAGCACGAACTAGAAAAAAATCGACTGTAGTATATATATTTTATTAAACGTCTGTGAAAAGAATTCACTTATCTCATAAAATACGCAAATAATGATTTTAACTCTCCATGATCACACATGCGTGGGTAACCCTTAACCCACCCCCACCCAACACACACACACAACAACAACAACAACAGACACACGCCACCCTCCCCATCGTTCTCACAGACTTGCTCCCCTGTCAAGCACTTGCACTAACCCGGACCAGGGCCTGTGTTCGACTATGACAGGCAATGCTGAGTAGCCGAGTGCTCCGTGTCGCCAAGTTCAATATTGACCTAAGCGACAAGGTCACACGGACAGACGACAAAAGGGATTAGTAATGATAGTTCAAATTCATCGATATGTCACTGATATAATATAGGTTGATTGTTGTGACATCATACACAATGGTGAAGCAGTGACGTAAATGTACACGAACAAGTGAGAAAAAATACATGACGCCTCATGATGAGTTCGTACTATCTCCTTTGTAACCTTTTTCATTGGAAGTAGATTGTGTATAATTGGCGCAGAGACGTTTAAGACGTATTTATATTACGTCTCTGCCTAGCGTGAAGTGGTCATTACTCAAATGTTATATTATATGTAATAATTCTAAGTATTCATCGGCTAATCAATCTTCGGGTTTTAAATCGAATTCTGTGGTTCAACTCCATGAACGTATGACATATAATTCTGAAATCGGTACCCCTGGTTCACATCTATGTTAATATAGTGTACACACGACGAAGACACGACGAAGACGGAAATCTATTCCTATGCTGTTTTATTTTTATTCTCATGTTAAATATATGAAAATATAGTAAAGAATCTAAAGTCTGATCTTAGATAGCTAATCTAATTCCGTGAGCTAACATATAATATCGTTCTGGCTTCAGTGGTTATAATTGTATATATATATATAAAAAAAAATATGTAAATCCTAAATTTTCCCAAAATCAATCACAAAACAATACTCGCATATCTGTTCACGTTCTTAAAAAGTTCCAATGGGATCCTTGCCTCACGAAGCTTAGTTTACGGTATTGTTCAATTGTGTCCGACTGCGGTTAGTTACAAATTCAATCACACGGAACAGGTGTTGCTGGACATCAAAGGTACCGTCTGATCAGGGGTCAACCATTTGATTGACGTCGGCAGATAAATATTGATATGGCGAGGAAACGGCAGTTGTAAGGACACGCCCTCGGGCGCTAAAAAAGCACACGAAATTTGTTTAAGTGTTTGTTATTACCCAAATAAAAGGATAAGGAAGGGGACTGTGGACAGGGAAGTGAGTTGATCTGTTTAACACCTACAGACAGGTTTCTACGCTGTGTAATGGTAATCCGGATTACGTGTACAGTTATAATCCGTAACTCTCTTGGCACCAAATCTGTTTCGGTTATATTTTGTTTATGCGCAATTAAAGATGAATTATCATTGTATTTAATGTGACCTTTTGATTCGACTAGACCTTTGACCTTAATTGGTCATTTGCGTGTTAAAACGTTTAAAAACAAACCATTACCATTAGAAGGACGTCAGATTTAATCTCCCATGACACATTAGATCACAGCTGGCGTTCATGGTATATTAAAACTATTTACTTTGCTGGTTAATTCAGTTTTGTATGAATATTGAGATAACCAGGGATTTATTCCCCAAATTTTATACAAACAAATCTTGTTTTAATAATACAGAAACATGTGATATTTTTGTTGAGATAGGGATGTATGAGTGAGTGTCAGGACGCAGAAATCATGAGATTTGTTCTGAGATCAGAAACATGTCATCAAAAGATGCAAGTGTCTGCGTTTTGTGTTTTGTAGTTCACTTTAATGAATGTGTGGATGTGAGAATGAGTGAATGAGTTCTTTTATATATGTAAAATATTCTTGTTCGCGGAAAAAACCACAAAACTTTTTTTTCTTAGAAAAACATTAATTGTATTCTTATAAGATTAATATTAACTTTATTTTATTCCACATTAAGTTGCATGACACCACATACAAAACAAAGTCTTATTAGATTAATTACCTCTCATAAATGACCTATTTAATGATAACCATTCTGGTAAATTTTATACTTTCCATGAATTCTCCCAAAAATATCAAATACAGACTAATTTTCTCCATTATCATAGTGTTCTCTCTGCAGTAAAGAAATCAAATTCTAATCCAGTCTTTCCTGATGTAAAAGTTACATACCCTATTATTCCTATAATCTTGGAATGACGCATGAGAAAGCCTAAAGGTTCCAAACACTTCTATAATATTTTTTTTATGAAAAAACACCATGATAGTTCTAACAGGACAGAAAAATGGAATGATATCTTTGATTTAAATAGTTCCAGTTGGCATAAGATATTCAAACTTCCCTTTGCTATAACTAAAATCACAAAATGGTTTCGGTATAGAGTGAATCACCATATTCTGACAACAAACTCGTTCTTATTTAAAACTCGTTTAGCTATATCTCCACTCTTAATACTTTGTGATTCTGGGGCTGAAACTATTATATATATCATGTGGGACTATGCCTTCCTTTTATCATGTTATGGCTCTATCTTTGTCCTGTCTCTCTATGTATGAAAGTATCTAACATTTGTGTTTTGTTGAATGTATCAATTGTACATGTATATTTCAGATGATAATGATGATGATGATGTATGGATGATGATGATGAAACTTTATTGTATTTACAAAAGGATTAGACAACAGGCAGTGCCTATATAAGTCTTCTCCTGAACCGGTACAACATATATACACAGAATAACAAGGTATATTAAGGTATATTAAATCAGAATAATTTGGACAGGAAAATGATCAGCATCTTCACGCGGTGCTCCACAAGAACAACTGCCATCTTAAATAAGGTGTTCAGTACATTTACCGAAGTAGTCACTAGCTTTGTGCCTGATTTGACAAGGTATTATATTAAGATTCCTAGGATTGCACTGTTTAAAGATCAGGGGAACATTATCTACTTGATTATTATAATAGTTGTTAAGTTTATATTTGAACGAAGTAAGGGA